CGAATGTCTGATTTTTAATCAATCACAATGCAGCAAGGGTCCATTTCGGTTACGGTTTCTCAAACTCAATCGGGGGCCGGAATTATTTCCGAACGTGACAACCGACACGTTGTCCGATCTACGAGAGCAACCTGCCCGAGTAACTCCAAAAGCCAAACAAAAAATTGTTTGTTAACCGGGAAAATCTATCCACGTGCTTGTTGCCACGGTCACACAGTATGTATCCAATGGAATGTGTGAGTCAGAAGTGAAAAACTTGACAGCCAGAGCATCACGTCACACCAACCTAGAATAAAAATGACAATTTTCTAGGAAAAGTATAAAAATAAGAGACATCCCATGTATTATTAACTCATGTGTCAGGCATAACCAATTTTAAAGCCACATCCTATATACGTAAAAGAATTTTCAGACCCCACGCAATGAGGCATTGAACTTGAACTCAAGCGGGTGCTTGGTGCCTGGGATGCCCCAAGAAAATAAGATAAGGGAAAGGCCAGAGCTGCCGGCTGCCGACAAAAATCAAAGCATATCTTTAGGCGCAAAACACACAATTACAAAGAACCCAAGCCCCTTTTTGTAGCCCGCGGCATGCTTAGCAAACAAACACACAAACAAACATAAATAGGACCTTAAAAAGAGCAAACAAACAGCGGAGACAACAGAGCATCATTGAGCGAGATAAAAACCAATGCAGCTCAGATACTGATGCAGTAGTTGAGATACAAAACAATCTTCCAGATACATTCAAAGAAAAATAATAGAGTAAAAATGTTAAAGCTTTCTTTTTATTTAATATTAAATTCCCGAGTCAAGTTCAAGTGCATCAAAAAATAGCCCCAGGAGCTCTGGCTAAAACCAAATTGAATAAAAAAGAGAAACCGCCAACAAGGGCGCGCCTTTGATTGCGATCTGCGGTTTTTTTTCGGTCGTGTCTGGGCTTAAGAGTCTGCAACAACGTTTCTCACTTATCTATTAATCTACTTGCATCCGGGTCACTGGAAAATTTTGAACTTGCAACTGATATACTAGGGAGAGCACAAAAAACTAGGAAGAGATCTAAACAGATCTAAAAAACACTGACCTAATTTCGTGATGCAAATTGTCTTGGCCAAAAATAGGAGGCATTAGTCATCACATGTAAATCAGCCAAGAAAATAAACACAACAGACAAGAGACACTTGTTGCCTCACCCACAGCGGTTGCCAAGGGTAAGGCGGGAGGAAAAGCTGGCATCAAGCAACTGTCGCCAAATTGGCTTTGGCTTTGGCGCCCCACAAGAAAAGGAAAACTATATATATATTTTCTATATACATGAAAAACATTAGCACAATTTGGGTTTTTTATGTCCTAGCATATGCCAGGAAAAACCAAAAAAAACACCAAAAGGCCCGCCAAAATGTGCCAGAAACTACACACATATATATTTATAGTTTATGTCTTGTTGGTTAGAGCTTTTTAAGAAAGGCGCCAAATTTGTTCACTAAGTTTTACTATAAATAACTTAATGTGAAAGTTAAATGTATATTTGTTATATATAAAATTACATAATTTATTTTTTGTACGAAAATCACACAGGTTTGCCAAAATAGGCAGACTTAAAGTGATGTTTATACAATTTTTAAGGTCTACATATAATTCTAAAAGTATGACTAATCTAAAAATAATAGTTAATTTATAATAAAAATTTTATTTTTCATAAAAAAAAGCTCTTATAATCTAAAAATATTTTAAAAGATTTTAAAAAAAAATACGTTAAAGCTCAGAAATCTAAAACTGTACCAGACATTCTAAGACAACCTAATACCTCAAAATCCCAGCCTTAACAAATTCGACAATACTCCCCCATTTAGGCCGGAAGGCATTAGCCAAATCAACACTTGCACTAACTTGCTCCTTCTGCCAAAAGGGAAACCAAGCAATTAATATCAATGAGAGCCCACGCACTGCAAAAGCCGCAACAGAATGTCATAAAAAATCGCCACAAGAACCGCCGGCAAATAATAATGTCGTAAAAAAATAAGCCGCAAAGAGCGGTCTCGACCGACCGCCTTGCATAATCGCCAATTGCCAGACGCTATAAAGAAATTGTTGAAAAAAATTACTTGGCAACTTGTGGCACGTTGTCTGCTTGCCTGGCTTGCCGCCTAACCGCCTACCGCCCACCGCCTCTGTTGTATGCATATGTCTCATCAGTGGGTCTTGGGTTGCGCTTTCCACTTCGTCATGGCATTTATTTTTAGGTTGCTGGCTGCCGCCGTCTTGTCTCGCTTTTTCGATTGGTTTCGCTGCCAAATTATTTAAACATTGCATTTGATTTACTGGCAAATTCATTGGCACAGTTTCGAGTCACTAGGCCAAGAGTCAACAGCCAGCCATGCAGTCGAGCAGCTGGCCAAAGCAGTTGCCACTTTATCGCTACCTTTTTGTGGCCCATAATGCAAAAACCAACAATTTGTCGTGGTTGCAATCTATTAGGCCCCCGCAAGTCATAAATCGCCTGCGAAGCTCTGGTCTCTGATAATTTCTTTATTGTTTGCACTTTGACAATTTCCAGCGAGTACAATGAATAATTCAAAGAATGTCAGGATTTTATGTTTTATAAGTTTTTCTATTATACTTTAGAACTTGATCCTTCCAAGATTAAAACACCTTTCGTGACAAAGTGCAAATCATGGCTTTTAATATTTTCTCAAATATTCACACGTCCCAGGGCCAGAGATCTCAGTCTCTCAGTCAGTAAGCCATAAAACCCATTACAGATATTTGGCCTAAACAAACAGCAACAGCCACAACAAATGCAGACCAGACACTTTCACTAATTGTCAATTCTGTGGCTCAATCGGAGGAAACAAAAAACAGCACTGGAAACTGGAACAACTGAAAACTAAACTGATGGAAAAAAGCCGTCGAAGCGATAAGTAAGCGATCGCTTTTCCCAACGCCCTCGCAAGTTGATAATAAAAACAAAAAAAAAAACAGAAAACATAAAGATTATGTGGTAATGCATTTGTAAAGTTAGAGAAATCTTAGGGGAAATTAAAAAGTCAAGGCCCCAGACTCATAAAGTTTCAAGTACACAGAATTTAGATGTCCCCATGAGTCAGTTGATCAAAAATTGTTTCACGAAACGGTTTGGTTGATAAAGTAAAGTTCAAAGTAAATTTGTAAGCCCCTAAATTATATACATATTTTGAAAATGACAAATAGTTCAGGAAGTCGAACTTCACAATAGAGCGACACATATGCAAATATTGGTACGTGGGCGTTGACAAGAAAACTTCAACCAAGGAAAAGGTAAAATTCTTTAAACCTATTAAAGATTATTGGCCTGGTGCGAAATGCAAAACACCCACTGGGCACGCCTCCTTTTGGGGCAAGGTGGGAAGCGCAACAAAGTGTGAAATCTAAACCACAAATCCTAACACCGAAGTTAAGATACCCTTTAAGAATCAAGTTTACTTTCCAATTCAACAAAAACCAAATAATAGCTTTTGTTTAGCTTAAAAAACAAATTTTAATATTTAATATTTTGAAGAAATAACTTGTCTTGAAATTACTCAAACTTTAAGGGCATAGTTCCAAGAAAAAATAGAAGCCTGACTGATTGACGGTAGCGTTGAAAGTTGCTGTCCATCATCGCGGGGACAGAGCACTGACAGTCCTGAGAGATGTGAGAAGGGAACCCCAACGAAAGAGTGGCGTGCCCCAAAGTCTGGTCTTAGAACTGTGAAAAGAAATGCAAACGCATGGATGCCGATCTTGGCCAGCTCAAGAGCACATGACAGAGATCATTAATATGATATATGCGCTATTAGCACAACCAGCCTCGGGCCATAAATAAAAACGGAAACCGTCGAGTATCTGAACGCATCTCCATGAGCAGGAGCATCCGAAAAAACAAAATAACCTGTTGACAGGCTGGCTGACATCTGGGGAGCTGAATCACGGCGCGTACACATACTCCATATATGCCGGGAAATCCAAAAAACAAAAAAAAATATTAAACCAAATGCCGACGTATTATTGATAAGCTCATTTGTAATTAGCGTGTAAATGAGGCTTCTTTTAGTTGCAACCCAGGCTTATCTGTTGGCAAACAAGAACAGGGAGCGATATATAATAGACACCTCCATAATTATAAATTATTCTATTTATAACGTGTGACAAGATAGGCTCATGGGTAAAGAAAAATCCTTCTATAATCTTTCGCACAAAAACGAAGCAGGGCACACGCCGTATGGGCTAATTTGAATTTGCTTCCCTATGAGTCATTAAATAATGATGTCCAGGGAGCAGAAAATGAGTCACGCCTGGCAGACGAGATGGATTATTTTCCAAAACAATTCCAGTTATAGCCTTTCAAGGCTATATAAAGAAATCAATAATAGAAATTCATACATTTGTCATTATACAAACATTGTGTCATTATGTACACTTATGATCTAAGATGTCACATTTTGATCTGATTTAACATAAAAAAGATAGTGGTACCTGACCGACATCCTTGTTTTAGAAAAAAGACGCTAAAGACTCATACCATCACCACTTGAAGCAATGAAAACACACACATTTATTATATAATTGTGAATGATAAAAGTTTCACAAAGAATATTTAATAAATATTTACATATGTATATTTGAACAAAAGAACTTTTCATTTGAGACTATTTCGCCATAAAAGTTAATCCCCGCCGATTGTCAAAAAAATATAGTCTCCATTAAGAACGATCTTCTAAAATTTAGTTTTGAAAAAATGAAGTACATACTCTAATATTCTCAAAAGATTCCACTATACGCATTTTTCAGCTATCTCTAAAGGCATTTCCGAAAAAACGCACTGATCGATATCACTGTTAAATTTAATCATACTAATTTACAAGAATTTTGTTTAAAAATAAAGTTATTCGTCCCACAGTCCATGATCGTGAGAGCCGACGAAGAGAAGAGACATATAGGCTGCTGCGTGTAAGAATTCCGGTTCAGTTTGCCGGCTCATTTCGTCGTGTGAACATCGTTTCGTTCAATCGGTCAGAAACATATATATATTCCGCTCGATGAAATAAAACTAAATAAAATATATCCTTTTAAAATCAAAAGGCTTCAAGGATCAACACAAAAAAGTCCGAAATAAATGCAAATGCTGTGAAAAGGTGCAAAATATTAAATATACAAAATATTCCCTAAAAAAATAATTTGTGGAAAAAAGTTTAAAAATTGTGGTGACACCAAGCTAATTACATTTCGCAACGGGTTGCAACAATACCTCTCTATTTAAAATATCTGAAGATAAATATTAATTGAAACTGGTTGCAATAAAAATTACAAATTACGGTGACTGATAAGAAAATGCAAATCAATCAATGAATAAATTAAATCAAGGCGAGCACATGTTAGATGCAGTTCTCAGAATTTATGCAGCTTTTTTTTAAAAATAGTTTTCTAAAGTGTTTTGAATTCTTTTATGAGTTTTTTGCTATTTGTGTTACCAAAAATAAAGAGGCACGCGAAACTCGTCTTTCACTGACAATAGGCTAAATGAAAAAATAATCCCTTTGAAAAAAAATTACTGAGAGAATATGTGTATATATTTGTTGTGTATTTTCTATATTGTTTTTCCATTTGTATGACATTCGGCGCATCAGTAAAGTTTTGCCAAATTGTGCAGCTAGGCGTTAAAAGCGAAGGCGTGTGCCAAAAAATAAGCATTTGGCTGCCAAGAATATTTAGCAACTTGTTATTCCAAGAAACTGATGTGGCAAGTTCAGGCGGACACGGATACTTGGCGATAGAAACCAAATTAGCAAAAATATATTAAATAAATTACTCATTTAAAAGTGTATTTCCAAAAACTAATTAAGTCAAGTAATTAAAATGCTATAGCTGAGCCGAATAAAAAATTATAATACCCATTATATATGTATATAAATTATACAATAAACAAATTCCCATTCAAAAGAATAAAATAATTGGAGTAACTAAATAAAGTATAATGTGAAATGTGTCTCAGTTTAATAAAGTAATAAATTCTTATTTTATTTAATTCCAGGAAAGAATAGTTAGTGAATTTTTGTGAAAAATGCTTATAAAATTCCAGTGATTATAAAAGTACCGAAAAAATTGAAGAATATTTATATATTTAATTAGAACCATAAATATGAGCTTTAAAGCTAGAATGAATATCCTTATCACCCTGCTGGTGGTTGTGGCCGAAGTGGTTAGCGGCTACTCGAGGTATTCGATGGATACCACAACGCACGACATTGCTCATAATTATGGGATGAGAGACTTCACCTTGAAATCGCACAGTGGCATCAGTCCCCTGGCCCAGCCGATAACACCCTCTCCCGAGGATTACGAGGAGTACGGGGCAGTAGCACAATGGGGCGGGCGCGTGCCACGTCATCAGCCATCAATTCCCCGCAACAACCTCGCCCGTTTCTCGTACTCCGACCATAGCAATTATGTCAATGCAAATTTTTTGGTAAGTGTGCTTTCATTTTAATATTAGCCGATAAGATTCTAGGTGAAATAAATGTATGATGACATCAGCCTGAGAATGTAGATTTAAATTAAAGCGAGCATGTATCTCGGGAATCCGTCACCAACATACAAAGAGAATATATTTATATTCAAAGTTGCAGTTTACCCAGACCTGGCACACTTTCTGTATAATCTCATGATTTTACGCATTAGAATCCGATCGAGAATCATAATCGCCACTCCACCGACTAGTGCCGTCACCTTGAACCTCAGATTGTAGGCAAATCGGAATCGGGTGACTAACCCTGAAACAATCTGTTGCCAATCTCTGAGCCATTCACTGCTCGGAGACTCCCCACATTGCAGATCGCAGTTCGCATAGCCCACCCATATGGTTGGTGAATCGAAAAAAAGAAGCTGGTTACACAACAGCGGCAATTATGAAACGTGTTACGCCAGGTAGAAGCCAATAATTTGGTTAACAAGCCAAAAACATACATGTTTGTATGTAATTCCAAGATCCCAGGCCAAACGATCGGTTTCACTTTCCGGCCTGTAATTGTGTCGCTCCGTTTAAAGTTCAACGGGAAAGGGGATCTCACTCCAGAATAACCTGTCCCCCTTTTATTTTTTGTATCTTCCATTATTTTTCTGTCATTGCCGACAGCTGGCCGACGATCAACGTCAATGACCAACATAATTCACAAAATAAAAGGGGGAATGCATCCTAAAGAGATCACTTTCCGTTATGGTGGTCCTCGGTTAATTGGAATAATTGACTTGACAACTTGTAACCATTGCCTCGCCCATAAAGGGAAATCAATACGGGCCAAATAAGAGCCCGCCAGTGATTGATTCACACTGATGGATCTCGATTGAGATGGAAAATGGTATAAGGCAGTATATATGACATTCGAATTGAAGAAAATAATTAATTACTCAGAGAGGTTTAAATAATTGAAACAAATTATTATATACATAGGGGATTTCCCAAACCTCTATAATCAACAAATCTCTTTCATATTATATACTTCTTATCTGTTCGTTAAATTTAATCATACTAATTTACAAGAATTTTGTTTAAAAATAAATTTATTCGTCCCACAAAATGTGAGGTTTAAAAAGTTGAGACAAATCATTATATACGTATGGGATTTCCCAAACCTCTATAATAATCAAATCCCTCTCATATTGTATACTTCTTATCTGTTCGTTTAGTATATTTCTTATCTGTTGCAAGGTTCTATAGAATCCAATACCATTGAAAACTTTAATAAGCTTCTTCTATAATCTGAGGCGATTGGGAGGGATGGGTGCTAGGATGTGCACTCGAGTGGCATAAAAAGCTTATGGTCTGTGGTCATGATTTTACCTGAATAAGCCCCCACTCTCCAAGACCTTCACCCCGCACTGGCCCTGCACCACTCTGACCTTTTTCGAAAGGAATTTAATATCTGCTTGTTTAAGCTGAATTCCATGCAACCTGCAACATCCACCCGCCACCTCTCCCGTTTTTTGTTTGCGAAATTGCAATAGTAGCTTCCGAACTCCATCTCAAATATAGTACCTCACCATTTCATTTTTCTACATGGGTTTACTCTGTGCCTGTTTATTTGCCATCGCATTCAGTGAGCATAGCTCTGCCCCCATATTCTATATTTTGTGCTGGAATGAGACCCATATCTCAGCGAAATGATGGGAGTACTGGCTTCAAAATTTCAATTATTTTAGCCAACAATGTAGAGAAAAGTCTGGCAATGTTTTCATATCAAATTATCGGAACTTATTAAAAATGGTAAGCATTTTGGCGAAGGATAAAGTAATCCTAATTGACCTTTAATTAGGTTAGGAATCGTTCTAGTAAACACATCAATTTATCATAATAAACTTTTTTGATTTTATCGCAAGGTAAATGCATATAGTTAGCATATAAATATCTGGACGATTAGTATAACTTGATCTGTTCGTTAGCATGACGCCACTTATTTGTATAATGGCGATAGTTGAACGACTAGAAAATGCCTTTATCTTTAATGGAATACGAATGGAAAGGAGGTTATCTAAGATAAATATAGAATGTGCCAAGAATGTTTCCCAAGAAGACGTCAGAATAGCGTTGATGCTTAGTCAACATTTGCTCTTGAACTTTGTACAATAAGAGTGAACTATCAAAGAAAATATATATGTATATATAAATTTTCAGTTTAGTTCGTACAACAAAGAAATCACATTTTTATTATAATACTTGTTCATATGTGTAATATTATACAATAAAAATTGTAATTATGAAACAGAAAGCATTTCACTTTCGTTTCCTTAATTAAATCGAGTAATAAACAAAACGTTCTCCCCATTCCCCATTGATCTCCCATATATTGCCCCATTGGGTTGAATGATGAAATCAGTCGCCACAGATTGGGGGATTCGGGGAGTAATGTCGGTCTTTTGTGATTTATTAGCAGTCGAAGAGTGAAGCACGCTTTTCTCCAAAGATAAAAACAAAAATATATCTAGTGACAGGCAAATCGGCTTATGACATAATACCGAACCACTTTTTTAGGCGGTCAGAAGACATATTCCCAAAATATGAAAAAACAAACACCAAAATATTATATACGGAAGCTCTGAATTTAGATGACAAATCTATAAAGTTTTATATTATTAATTTCTTGTTTTGCTTAGCTAATAAACGTGAAATGCTTGGGCTGGAGGAATCGATTCCGAGGAAAAAGAGCCTCGGGAATGTGGAGAAAGAAAAACTTGCCGGCGGCGGCGTGGCAATAAATTAAGAGCAAAAATTTCACGTTTTTGGCCATAATTTACTGGCAGCGACTGTACGAAGTGTCTGATTGATCGCCGGCGACTTGTTGGCCATTTAATGGGCCTTGCGCCAAGAGTCACGCAATTAAGACAATAAATTATGCCCAACACGAGGCTTTAATACACTCTTCCCCAACATAAATCATAAAAAATACTTTGTTCTAAATTTAATATCACATTTTCCCTTTTCTCTCTCTGGTCCGAAGTCGTCTTCGGGGAAAAGATAAAAGAGATTTTTTTTAAATATTTTATAAATTATATTTATTGTATCATTTATCACCTGATCCTATTTATAATTAAGAATGAAAATTTAGAATGGTATACATTAAGGCTTGATGTGGAAGGCCCACACAAAAGTGAATATATTTCTCATTCAGAAACCAGTGTGTGGTGGCAGTGGCAGTGCCTCCGATAAATTCAAACAAATTGCAGATTGAAAACTCAATCTAGAGCAGGCCAGACAAGTCGCTAGATCGAATCGCTGGAGCTGCAACGTTTCAATCACTTTGGCAATCTATCCGGTGCGTGTGGGCGTTGCAATTAGAAGAGTCAGACAACGTCTCTTCCCCCAAATCCCATCAGATCAGATCCCCATGCCACCACAGCCTCATGTATTCGTCAGACGAGTTCTTCAATTCGACGTCTCGACTGGCAATCAGTTTGGCGATCGATTCCTTCCAGACTATGCCGGCGATGATGATGCATGAGTTCACATTTCCGGCATTCGCAGCACCAAACGACAGCTTGCAACATGTTGCTGCAACTTTTGTGACTTGTGTGACCAAAACGATTTAATTGGCTGGCGCCTCCGTGAGATGGCGATTCAGATTTCTGGCAGGGATCCAAAATCTATAGGTGATAGAGATATTATTATAAAAATAGCAAGTTGCTAGGAGAAGAATTGTTGTTTTCTAAAGAACTAAACAATTACTAAATTAATAAACTTACTCAGGTAATTGCTTTTTGTAAGGCCTTTCATGTAATGCCTAGTACTGCATCCCTGACTTTTAGTGCCTGTTCTTGGTATGACTGGCCGTCATTGACATTGGATGGATATTATATGGTATATGGCCTTTTATGGTCCCAAATGGCGGCTTCTCTTTACTGTCGCTGCTTTCGGTTTTTTTTTGTGATTTTTGTTGCTTTCATGCTTTCCTTCCAACCAGCTGCTTTCGTTTTCACAGCCTTCCGAAAGCAAACAAAAATATAAAAATTGTCATAATAAACGGACCAAGACCAAGCAGTCGCGGCAGATTTCGCGGCTACATTCGCTCGTTAAAAATCAAAAAGCATTTCCAACCAGCCCAGTCCTTTTCACAATTTTTTGTGCTTTTGGTCCGCTAAAAAGTATAAAATTGTATAGGCTTTTAATGCAAGTAGTTTCAATTAAGATATAAAAGTTATGCTTATTTTTAATTACTTAAGTTTATGGCCCAATTGGGGGAGACGAGTCGAGGCGAGGCGAGTGGCCGCGTAATTGGCACTTTCATGTCAAAATCTGTGGCGACCAGACCCGCCAGCCAACACTATAAGTTTCACATTAAGCATACGCCATGTGGTCCAGCCTATGGCTCTTTAGTTTTTCGCTTTTTAGTTTTTGTTTCACAATCGTATGTGTCTGGGCCATGTTTACAATTCTGAAAAGAATAAAAAATACAAGAATCGAGGCATGCATTTTCCAAAACGTTGCTCTTTTTCATGAAACTTTGCTTCTCAGCTTTTAGCCAAATTGCAATTGCGGCATTTGCATTTCGCAGCATGGCATTCAACACAAATTAAGAAAACACAAAAAAACTGGAAAAGGCCTTTTAAAGTTGGAGGAAAAACAAACAGAATTTTAGAGACGAAGTTTAGATGCTCTCGGAAATAGAAAATAATATTATAGGATTCACTACTTTGAAAAATATATTTTTTATTCAAATAACCAAAGAAATACATTAATTTTTTTATAAGATAATAATTCTAAAACTATTATTATTTTATGCTTGCTTAAAAATAAAAATAAAATAAAATATTTTAGATTTTTCTTAAATATTTTCCCTAACTTTAATCTGTATTCCGTCATACCCTTTTTGAAGAAAATTCTAATTAAGCAAAAGCGAAAATCATTGTGATGCTGGTTGAATCTACTTGGCCATTTATATTCGTCGACTTTGATGGCTAAGAGAGGTGCTTGAAAGGGGGTTGTGAAGAGGGTGTGTGTGGGTGAAAGTGTGCATACGAAAGGGAGAAATGATGAGGGAGATAGAGGACCCATAGAGTTAGCCAAGAGCGCCGAACTGTAGGCAGTGCACATTTAGTTGGCCCTGTTTGTTGTGCTCTCTTTGGCATAAATCAACATTGGATTGTACTATATTGTGCTGGGTTCTCTGTTTCCTCACTGCCCTTGCCGGCTAAAAGACTTTTCTTGGCCATATCTGCGACCCCCCTTTCGCTAACTATCTCTGCTTATTTGCACAGTTGTCGGCGAATTTGTTGGCCAGACTATTTGTGCCGCCTCTGCCACTGTTGATGATGTTTCTTTAGCTTCTTTTTTTCATCTTTTTTTTGCTCATTCACGCATTTTACAATTTGGTCTAAAGGTGGTAGTGGGTGGCGAGGAGGGGGCCCGGAGTGTTTAATCTTGACCAGGAACAAGCAAAAGGGAACACCTTAGAGCCCTGAACCTGGCCGTCAGAGTTTTCACATTTTAGAACTTGAATGGAGTACACAAAGACAAATATTTTTAGGAAATGCTTTATAGTTTTCAGATGAATAGGTTAGAATGTACAGAACCAGAAGAACCAAATTTAAAACAGAAACCAGTATCTTGACTTTATAAAACTCCCTTCTTTTTTAAGATTTTTAAGAACTGGTTTATGATATTTAAAAGCTACAAATATAGGCCTACTTCTGTTTATTTAAGTGTAAGGGATTGAGGATCATAAAAGTGTGTGTGCTGGGTGCGCTATTTGCATTTGGCTCATAACTCTTTTGATTGCAAATAAACCCACGACAGGCTCTTTATTATTGTTGTCGCTGCTGCTGTTGTTGTTACCTTTTCGCTCGTAAAATACCAAACACAAGTCACACCCACGCCAGGAATCCAAATTGAGGCTAAACAACAGCACAACAACAACAAAAAAAAAGTACAAAAAAAATAGAGGTGAGAAAAAAAGCAAAAGTGAAAAATAATAAAGAAACGGCTGCTCCAGCAGCTCCACCGTCCAAAGGCATCCTTCAAACGCTCAAAACAGAACAAAAACCAAATGCAAATGAAGTTTTGTGTGTTTTTTTTCCTTTTTTTATTGTTATGGGCAGTGGCAAGGGGTGTGGCATGGTTGGGGGGCGGGTGTTGCACCAAGAGCAGCGATCCTAAAAGAACACCAACTGTTTTTCGAATACTGTCAACCCAGCAGACACTTAATGGGTTTTTTTTTTGTGTTCATTCATGTGTCCCTGTCACAACTCTGTTCCACATAAAGAAAATCCATACATTATCCTTTATTAGAGTGATTTTTTTATTTGAATTACCAGTTTAACCTAAAAAAAGCTCCTTAAAAATAACCATAAATTTGAACCAAATACTTTAAGAATTTCTAGAAAGTCTTGTTCCTATACATAGAGTTTCCATTAGTAATATTAGGTGCCTATTACCAGTTTTTTTTTAATTTGTTCATAAAGGTTGTTTAATATAGAAATGCCAACCTTTTTTAAGGAGACATCTATTATCCTACTTTTTAGAAGCCCTATTTCAGCGCCCCCTTTTTCTGTTTCCCAAAATCAAACCCATTTTCCAAACTACCATTTATTTCTCTTGGTGCATCCTTAGCTCCGGTTCCTGCTCCTGGGATTGGCACTGCAGATTGATGGTAATTCCAGGCGGCAGAAAAAGGGGGGTGCGGTGCATGACGGTGTGGGAGGGGCAGATGGGGCATACGGGGCCACTGCCAACCTGGATGAAATGGCCGTGTCATGGCTGAGCATGCGTAATGAAGCTTAAGTAGAACTGGTTATAATCAAAAGAAGACCTAGGCTGCCGGTCTGATGGGAGACGGGGAAGAGCAGATTCCAGAACGGATTTAGATGACTTTGATTCATTCAAGAAAAACGATCGTTCCTAGAATAACAAAAAGGACATTAAATATTAGTGATGACTCACAGCCACGAATTAATTAAAAGAAAATAAACTGCTGTAATGTTTTGCCTTAAGTGTTTATTTTAAAGGAAAACTAATTTAAAGGACAATTTTAAGGATTTAACAGAAATTTAATATGGAAGTTGAACAAAATCTTGAATAAAATAGGGCCAAGAAAAATTCTTGTTAATAGCTGTTGGAAAATATTAACTTTTTTATAAAGATTATAAGACTTGGACTATTAGATAGACTTGGATAGAACTAAACATATGTAATATAAATGGATTAATCGTCTGAGAAAAAAATATAGTTTATACTACATTTAAATAAAGAAATCATTCAAAAGAATTCTTATTCTTATTAATATTTTAAGTAAACTAAATTCTCACTCTAAAATAACTTAATACAGTTTTTATTAAATTGATATTTAAGTAAAAACAAAGAGATAAATGACAGTCAGTTTATGTTCAAAAATAAATCCCTTTTATTCGAAAATATAGTTGATGGCATCTGAACCATTAGCTGCTTTTGCATGCGGGAGATGACTTGGCATAACCTTCAATATCCAGATTCCCAAACGATTGCCCACCCACAACGACCATGCCCTTTTCCTTACACCCTATCCCGCCCATTTTGCTGGCCGTTTTACTTAACGCTTTGGTGACTCTGTTGGGAATGCGAATGGAGTTGTTATGCTGGATCCTTAGCCCACTTTCGCCGCCTTCCGTATCCTTTGGCCTCGCCGCTTTTCCTGCTGGTGTCATTTTTCTTACATGCACACTTCATTTATTACACCCAGAAGGCAGCAGCCACTCCCCCATTTTCCAGCCATCCCCAACGATTCCTTTTTCCCCTTTTTCACATTATGTATCACTTATATGCATGTCGTTAGTTTTCATGACATTTTTTGGGGAGGATGGGTGGCTGGATGATCAGGAGGATGGTTTGGCGGAACAGCAAGTGCATCCTTTTGTTGAAAATCGATAAATGTGTGAGGCAATGCAAATTGTAAAAGTTTTTCCTTTCCACCCACATCCGTTGCCGTTGCTCTTTGAGCTGTAAGCGATAGCTTTTCAGGTGCTCTCAGGTGTGGCACGCAGGCTACCCCTTTGCACCTGCACCCTGGTGTTGCTCCTGCACCGCTTTCGTTTCTGTTTTGCTGCGGCTTTTGTGTGGAGCGTGTTAAAAATCTGTTAAATAAATCAAAATTGTTGGTTGGTGAGTGAACAAGCAAACACATGCCGGTATAAATCAAAAAACATAAATTCAATTTATTTTCGATTCGCCCTTTGCGTGCAGAAAGAAAAAAAGAAAAATACCCAGGAAATTATATTTCCACAAATATGTAAAATATAATCCGTATTTTAAAGTTCAAGCTCAGAACTTAAGCTTTACAAATGAAATATAAACAAAAACTAAACCATCCATCAAAAATGAATGTAAAACTTAAATCCTTCTGTTGATTCAGAAGCACATGGCTGCCCATCTAAAACTTCCCACGGATATTCAGTTAAAAAAGATAAATAAAATTGACCAGGATTACACCATAATTTTATTTCATTCTGGATTAAGTAGAGTATATTCCATCCAATACAATATTGGCCAAAACAATTTATTACGACTCCTGTAGTATATGTAATCTTTTTTTTGCAGTTTGCCTAAAAACTATAAATATGTTATAAAGGAAAAAATTCAGAGGGAAACAGCTCTTGTCGCAAATTGTGAACAAAAAATTATAAAATCCACGGAGTGTGTGCGTCCTCTGAATGGGAAATAGAGTTACGTGCTCGCCAACAGCCAAAAAAAAATAAATAAATAAATAGAAAGTACACCAACTTTAGTTATATACATACATATATTCTGCATTTTCGCACATAATGCAGAATTTCTGCAATGCCATATCAATTTTCAATGCATTCAATGCCTGTTTGTTCTTTTTTTTATGAATTTTTTTCATGGCCCCTCCAGGACGATGGCTATCAATCTGATCAGGCGCCTGTGGGGGAAGTGACAGCTGAGAAGATAAATAGATTGGGAACCCCAGAGGCCGTCCAAGAGTCCAAGAGAACCTACATAAGTGAGTATGATTTCCATAGCTGATTTTGTTTTCCCCCTGCTTACTATATAGCTATAGCTCTTTGCTGGGGTTCATTGGGGCCATTAAAGATGTCTCCCTTCTCCGGTAATTGTTCTGCAAATAGATGTTCCAGGCGCCCGCCCATGATCATCACGTTCTGGCCATAAAAAATGTGCTAAGCAAATGTGCTAAGCGAACTCGACACTGCGCTGAGCTAGAAAGGGCGAAATAAACCAAACAGAATGGTATAAAAGGGCCTTTGATGTGGAGACAGGAGGTCTAAACAAATGTATAAAAAATACCAAGTCAAAAAAAATTATAAATAAAATAAAATTTTTATTTCCAACTTAGACAATAATTAAATGATGAATTCTGAGCTTTATGTTCGTTTTTAAAACTATTTTAAAAAAGTTACAGTTCTTTACTCCCCACTGTATCTAAGCTCCTGACAATCCCAGTTGTTTTTCCTGTTATTTATGACAATGGAAATGAAAATGGCTGTTTTATCCTTTGGCACGTGACTCTTCCACTGTTGATGGAAAACCAGAGCGCAAACATCAACAGACTTGAAGCGTCAGTGGCAAGTTAAGCTTACGCACTTTACTTTCAAACTGCCAGGAAAGTGCGAGTGAAGTTTCCGCCTTCAGGGTGGAAACACATATTTTATAAGAAACGTCTTGGCCACATCTGTACTTTCGTTGCAATTAAAAAAAAGAGTTTTGGCTTGTTAGCCACAAAAAAATGCTTACTTCTTTTCGAGTCCTCTCATCTCGTGAAATGTACGTGGTGCCATGTTAACTGCATTTTTCGGTGGGAAGGTTTGCATAGATATTGCCAATTACTTCATTACAAGCTTACGGACACAAGGCTTTTGAAAAAATATGTTATAAAGATGCACTGAAAGAAAACTATTTGTTATAAAATCACAAAAACTGAATAAGTATTACAGGAAACCTTACAGATAAGATAAGATACCCAAAAGTTCTAATTGATTTTTAATCATTTTTGTTGCTGAAACCTTCTTGAACTTTTTTGTTCAGTGTATCAACGACTTATAGTAACCCCTTCAATTACGAGACAACCGCACAGGCTTAACCCAGACCCCCTGACAATGAAATGTGAGCTCGCTCAGCCCAATATATATTTTTTTTCATTTTTTCGGTATTTTTTTTGGTATCTCCCCCTGCCATCGTTTGCATTTGAGTGGAAAATTGTTGTTGCCGCCTTAATGGGCGCGAAAATGGTTTTTGGGGGGCTGGTGGGGGAAAACCGTTAAGAGCATGTGGACAAAGCCAATGAAAGTGTGTCACTAAGCCTGGGAAATTGTCAATGAAAATGCCTGCTGTCTGCTGCATGTTGCATGTTGCCTGTTGTCCGTTGAAATGCTTAATGATGCAACAATTTTCTTATCAAATGCAATTTTTCCTCTGGCTGTTTATTTGTTTATTTATTTTGGCATACCGATTCGAAGTTGCATCCTGAGCAGTTGCGGTTGTTTATATATTTTGTTGGAACATAAATATTGGCACATTTTGGTCGAAGTGGGCTCATTTTTTATGGTTGCATTCATGATAAAGAGGAAAGTCAAATATTTTTTTATTGTAAACACCTGAGTGTGCTGTTTACTAAACAATACTTTAATATTTGACTTTCCGATCATTCATAAGAATTCATTCTTGAGGGATAAGATAACCCATCGAACAGATAATCAAACTACTTATTCGCAAAGGTCTTCATCATCCAGGAAGCCCCGTGGAATGGCCCACATTTTCATGGGCAATGCCATCAAGTTCAAAGGCAGCCAACCCGGCCAACCGACTTTTCTCAACATGGGGCATTCAACAACAGTGCATTTGCCCCCTGCCCCCTCCTGAAACACTGTGCCACCCCTCCTTGGCCGGTCATGAGTTTCCAGTCCTCGTGGATTGTTGAGCTAGGAGCCCCTTGAATTATTCATGTGGCTGTTGTGGCAGAAGCAGCTTCACAGACTCTGAGGCAGCCAAACATCCATCCTTCCCCTTCTCTCAATGCTTAGATTCAATCTGCAGCTACCTCATTTGCACTGAAAGAAAATGGATGTGGTTTTCGTATACAATCTAAAGAATCACAGTTTCCATTAGAAGTGAGATGAGTTTCTATGGGACTACAGACTATACTTGTATATTTTTCTAGTGTAGAATGGCACTCCAAGGCTAGCTTCCCCACTGCTCGTTTGACTGATGATTCAATCATGAAGCGTTTATGAAAATTACATATGGATCCCCACAGTTGAGTTTCCCTTTTGCAATTCCCCCCCCTCAAATTTGCGTTTTCCAGGTGGGGGTATGGTGACTAGGACTTTGGGATTAGCTCGCTTAACTGAGCATTGGGTGGTCCCTCCCTTCCCACCTCTTGCCACCCTAGACCCCTGCTGTCTGATCTCTCTGATCTGCTTTGCTTTTGCAACTTTATGACCATCAGACACCAACAACAACAAAAATTTAATACCGTCAGCAAAGATCTCCTCTGAGCGCTTTTTTATGGCAGCGACAAAATGAAAAAAAAATCTTCCCAGTAACGGTAAACTTAAAGGCCATTAAGGTGCAATCTCCTGATGACGATCAATAATAAAAAAAAAATTCAAGAAGAAAGAAAACAGATCGCAGGAATGATCTTAAGCCATGCCAGTGGGCGATCAAAAACGCTACCGAAACGCATGCAAAACGCACACGAAAGGCATTGAAAACCGCAATGGGGGAAGGGAGAGAGGAATGGGGAAAAAAGTATCTGACAGTTTGCTGCCCCAAACCACGAAAAGGCGAATGAACGGCAGTTTAGTCGGCTATTAAGTAATAAACCCGATAACTGGTTATTCCAATGACACAAATTCGTATAAAATGTGGTAAATGTTACACAGATTTTATGTTAATGGCTTCTAAATATATAAATAAAAAACCAACATTTTGCAGAATTATAGAGCTACTATTATACAGAAATAATTTCTAATTATTTTATATTTTTTTCAGAGCAAATGGCGTCACTTACGGAACTTGCCCTGAAGCATCGTGCGGAGATGCGCGAAGAAGGCCGCTGCCGGATACCAAGAAAGGAGCTAGTCTACATGAATGAGGAGACAAATGTCCAGTATATTCCACGGGCCACGTTCCTCCATCGATGCAGTATGTTCTCCGGTTGCTGTGAATCGGGTTACTTGTGCCAGGCGAAAAACAATACTGTGGAAATCGTGGAGAAGGCTTTCTACGTGGCGGTCAACAACAAACAGGCGATACCCAGGATGATACAGTTGCAGAATCACACCGAATGCGAGTGTGTGAGGAACGAGATGCGCCGGAAACGGAGCACCAATTGCCAGTGCCCCAAGCACTTCACCGATTTCAGCCTGTCGGAGTCTCAGTGGGGCGACAGGATAAACACAGTCCAGGCACAGGGGCAACGGTGTCGATGCGACTGCCACCTGAACAATGAAACCTGCAAGCGGCTGAAGAATGGAGAGGAAGGCTTCTCCGTAATGGAGCGACGGTGAGTAAAATTTTATTGTTGTCATTAAAATTGTATAAAATATATTTATTTATTTTATAATTATTTAGTCGGATTCTGCGCGGTGAAAGCAGTCCTCCGTTCTGCAGTTATGGGGCTTACGATATGAAAAACGGACGTTGTCCGCGTCCGGGATATCAAAATGCGAATCCGAGCCTCCAGTATCACGAATTCCAATCCAATGGCCACAACGGCAAGAGCTAAACCAAATCCCTAAACTAATAGTACTAAACCATAGTACTGAAACGCATATTGAGAGATGTACTGTGCCACTGAAGAAGAGACTCTCATGCCGAAGGACCTTCCACATATTAAGTCCTTAGTATTATTGCTTTTTTCTGGCTATTATTGAAATCGAAATCAATCGAAAGCCTGTCGAAATATTCAAAACCATTCGAATAATTTATTATCTTAATGCTAAAAGGCCAGTGAAACCGGAAACTAAAAAAATACATACATTTAAATTAATCGAAGATGTCTTCGAGTCTCAAGATGAAGTATTGCCAACCTACATTCGAGTGTACTTAATTTATTGTCGATTAAGTTCATCTCCTAAGCTCCTAATGTAATATATACTTATATATGTCTTATTATACTTGTAGACTCTGTATACAATTAAAACGAAGCTTCTAGTCATAGCAAGCGATTTAATTTTTTGAGTATAAATATTATTAAAAATAATACCCCATAGACTAGTAGATAAACATCAAGGGAGTAATACTCTACAAAGCTTAAATGTTTAGCGGGATTCTGCAAATTGTGGGCACCATTATGCCGGATGATGTACTCGATCCAATAGGTTGCCAAGTCACTGGATTTTTGGGGACGATCCCGATAAAGTTGAGAGGCTGTTTTTATGGCTTTTTTGTAATCTAAATTACTAAGTATTTCAGACATAGCTTTTGACAGTGCAAAATGTGTGAGATTGTGGGTAGACAGAGTCAAGCCCCATTTTCTAGCTTGCATTTTATGAAGATTGGCTCGCTGATCTCCCAACAAGGGTAAGCCAAGCATGGGTACTCCATAATAGAGAGCCTCAGAAAGACTTCCCTTTCCTCCATGAGTGATGAACAGGTGAACCTTTCCACTGGCCAGTAACTGACACTGGGGCCACCACTTTGAAACTTTTAAATAAGGATATTCTGTCGTAATATTTTCAGCATTTGGACCATCGTAGGTCCAGTAGATATCATAGTCGGAAAACTCGGCAAAAGCTTTTTCAAATGTTTCCAAAATATGCTCGGGGGTGTTTTTCCAAGTAAACCGAGTTCCCAAGCTGAAAAGAATGATAGGACGACTTCCCATAGCCACTGGTGATTTGGACATCCTTTGCTCCAAAACAATGCCTCCTATATCCACCATATTTGGCAAAACCGGAGCTATGGGTCCTTCACTGATGGCGTGATGATTATTTAAGGCCAAGGCAACCGATTTCCGCATCTTCTGGAAACTGGGATATTGTGGTTCAGGAAAGCGGGAACTATAAAGAAAGTTTAAAGAAAAACTGTATTATTGTTCTAGCCATTTCTATAAACATCATCTAACCTGTATATCTTCTGTAGCACTCTTCTTGCCATTTCTTCCACAATTTTCTCCCAAACTCCAAAAATCAAAGCACTAAGTCCACTCCTTTGGTGACTGTCGTACGGCTGAGAAACATACCAACGTTCTTCAGGATTTCCCATGAAATTATTTACAAAACCCGTAGGCTGTTGGGTGGTTATAATAGCCACTGGACAATTAAAATGGGCAGCTACACCCAGTAGATGATCATTAAAGTGATAACCCAAAAGTAGTAGATCAACTTTCAGGTAAGAAGGTCTATTTAGAAAAGATTTCCATTCCGGCAAAAGGAGAAGTTCTTCCGACTTTTCGAGACGCTGGAACATCCTTTTTAAACGCCCCAACAAATCACTAGAAGATCCACGGGGATCTTCATCCTTTGGCTGTTTCCAGGGTATCAAAATATGTGTTACATTTTTCTCGATTTCGGGATTCTCCAGGGGTAAGGTGGTGACCAAAGTCAACTGGTGACCCCTCTGGAGGAGGGCTTGGCACACGGCCAAGTGGACCAGCAACTGGGATCGATGCACATTGACAAAGAGGCCAAGAATGTGATGGGATCTGACTGAATTCGGGTTAAAAACGGAAAACAAGAGCCACACAAGTGACCAACTGAACGGCGGTTGCTTCATGACTGAAAGCTTACAACTTAAATTCCCATTACCACTGTTAGAAAAAAAAAAGTACTTAATTTGATAACATAAAATTCTTGAAACATGACTGATGACTAGATGAATAAAAAAATAAAAATTGAAATGAGAACGAGTATGTTCTCGATAATAGTCGAGCCTTCACCGCTCATTTCTTCTCAGATTGTGATTTAAGTGTAACAAGTTCGAGCCCAGCTCGAGAATACTTAGTATTTTTTAATTTAAATTTACGATTTTTTAAAGATTATATCAAGAATTTTCGTTTTCAGTTCTTGTTTCTTTCTCTGAGTGCAGGTAATTATGTGGGACTCCCGACAAACAATCAATCAAAAATGATAATAAGCCATTTGGTTATTCAACAAAACAGATAAAAAAGAGTGACGTCATGGATAGCCGATAAACGACATAAATATAAATCATTTAATTAGAGGATGCGGTTATATGGTAATTTTAACATCTCCCAGATAAGCCACCCACACCAACCACTCTTCATCAATGAAATTAATCTACCTAGACCACATATCAACGCCCTGCCTAATGAAGCACAAATTTAATTACCCGTAGATATGTATCAGTTTAAGCTTATTTGAGGTTTTGATTGCAAATGATAAATAAAAATATTACTCACCTGTATGAACCTATTTCTTGGGCAACTTGGAGTAAAAGTCCTCAAGGAATTCCCTCAAAATAAATTTGAATTTATCGGCATGGCCCTGAAGCTCCAACTTGGTTTCAGAGCCCTCGTTGTCCAGCATTTCATTCGCATCGTTGAGGGTCTGAAGGTAGTGCAACCAAGACGACTCCAATCCCAACACCTGTTGATGGGTTTTATCGGTCAGCTTAACATTATATTTGTGTAGAAGGACAAAGAGTTCCAGCATCGGGGTGAAGACAGACTGTTTCACAGGAACTTCCTTCAAAAGTTGCTCAAATAATTGCTTGGCCGCCATAGTTTCACGAAGTGTTCTGGGTACTTTCATCACATTACGTTCATTGCGTCGCATATATCGGTACAAAGCTGTTAAATAATATTTAAAATAAATATTAAATAATTATTAAAATATATATATTTTTAAAAATAAACAAGAAGTACACATACATCCCATGCAATTGCTGGCATGATCCAGAAGAATTCTTATATTTAGAGCCTGCCATTTCTCGATCCAATCCAATATAGTGCTCTTGAGAGCATTCTGGTTGACCAATATGAAGTACACAGTCGTGATGGCATCCTCGAAGGACACATCATCTGCCAGAGCACTGTAATGTTCAATACCGCCTTCGAAAACACCAGCTGTCCGGGAACTAGCCTTTATCTTTTTCCGGAATCCCTCCTCAGTGGTATCCCACAATATACGATGCCGATTCCAGTGCTCCTCATACTTTTCCAGTTCCTGGCGCTGTCTGGATATCTCCGCTTGAATGCTTCTCATTAACTCCGAGCAATCCTGATCCTCGCGAAACACCTCGGCAAAGCCTGGACGCTGTTGTTCCTTGGGAAGCTTTAGTTTATAACCCAATCGTGGAAACTGATCCAACATGGTGCGTATATTGTCGATGATTCCGTTTATTAGATTCGCAATAGTATCCATATCGGGACTTAATACAATGTTGCCATCCTTTATATCGGACTCGATGACTATAATAGGAGCTGCTGCCATATCCTCATCGCAGTGCAGAGCCTCAAATAACTTGATTAGAGATCCACGAGCACTGGTCATCAAAGAACTGGCCAGCATGTCGTCCATGTCATTGACATAGGCTATCCAACTGGTAGACATCTGAAGAATAGATTTTCATTATAAAAGGTTATCACATTTACAATTTTACAAACCTCATCATCCACCGATTGAAACTGACGACTGAAAGCCGACAAAAGCTCCACAACTTTGCTGTAGTAACTCCTCAGAATATCTCCCGATGATTTAAGTTTCTGGGAAACTTGGAGTTGGAACACTGAAATATCCACTACCCCAGAAAACGATGAGAAATGTAAAAGACAAGTATCGCAAATCTTTTCACAGCTCCTGGCCACTCCCCTATTGGCCCTCTTGTAGATATTCACTATATCCAGGAACTCTACCAAGAATTCATTGGCGTCTTCGAAATATTCCTCGTTTAACTCAGAACCATAGGTGATCTTAAAGAGTCCTGGAGCCATCTGACGATCACAGGCCTGAACCAAGGGACGAAACAACTTTCTTTCCCTCTCAGTTAACACGGACAGGATGCGATTATAACGAAGACACAGTTGTATAACTGAACTGAAAAGAAATCTAAGGATATCATGTCTCTCATACACCTTTTTCAGGGTGTTGGGTATGGCAAAGCCCATTCTTTCAAAGTGCAGAGCTTGGTCGCACAACTCTATAACAGATTCATCAACATTGGACTCCAGAAGCCCGCGAAACTTCTTCGATCGTACAATCAAATATCGATCCAAGCGCTGGCTAAGATCTCCCGTATAGCCACAGCATTTGGCAACCCAATCTTCGTAGGTCTGCCGGATTTCCTTTTGAAACTCATGTTGCAATGCATCAAACTTGGCCAAAGCTGGAGAGGACTCCTTAACAGGAGGCAGCCACTCGGCATTGGTTAGGCGATCTCGGAGCCAGGTCAAGCGCTCCAAGTTAATGCGATAATTTAGGGCTTTAGATACGTATTTGGCGAGCCAGGATTCTTCCTTTCCTTCCTCAATGAGTTTTCTTGCCGTGGCATCCATTTCCTTTGAGAAAGATCTCCACAGCTTGCTTACTTCCTTCAAGTAGGTTTTTCTTAAAGTGCCTCGTTGGCGATACGAGAAGAAAAACAAAGCCTGCGGAATAAATTTTTAGTTAAAAAACAAGAAACGAAAGCTAACTTCGGGCGGAGCTGAACTAATATACCCCTGCGGTTAATATTGGATATTTATCGCAAATATGGCCCACAGTGATGGCTATATCTTCATCAATTCTCATCCGATCCTCAAGCGGAGTACCTTAATCGATTTCTAGATCGATTCTCCACCATTCTGCATCAAAATCCTGAGACGAAATATTTTTTAGACTTTTTGTCCATTTTTCCTGATGGGATCCCTTGAAAATGCGGTTTTTTCCTATATGGCCCACAGTGATGGCTGTAGCTTCCCCAATTCTCATCCGATTCTCAAGCGGAGTACCTTAAACGATTTCTGGATCGATTCTCCACCATTTTGCATCAAAATCCTGGGACAAAATATTTTTTAGACTTTTTGTCCATTTTTCCTGATGGGATCCCTTGAAAATGCGGCTTTCCCCTATATGGACCACAGTGATGGCTGTAGCTTCCCCAATTCTCATCCGATTCTCAAGCGGAGTACCTTAAACGGTTTCTGGATCGATTCTCCACCATTCTGCATCAAAATCCTGAGACGAAATATTTTTTAGATTTTTTGTCCATTTTTCCTGATGGGATCCCTTGAAAATGCGGTTTTCCCCTATATGGCCCGCAGTGATGGCTGTAGCTTCCCCAAATCTCATCCGATCTTCAAGCAGAGTACCTTAATCGATTTCTAGATCGATTCTTCACCATTTTGCATCAAAATCCTGAGACAAAATATTTTTTAGATTTTTTGTTCATTTTTCCTGATGGGTTCCCTTGAAAATGAGATTTTCCCCTATATGGCCCACAATGATGGCTATATCTTCATCAATTCTCATCCGATTCTCAAGCGGAGTACCTTAAACGATTTCTGGATCGATTCTCCACCATTCTGCATCAAAATCCTGGGACAAAATATTTTTTAGACTTTTTGTCCATTTTTCCTGATGGGATCCCTTGAAAATGCGGCTTTCCCCTATATGGACCACAGTGATGGCTGTAGCTTCCCCAATTCTCATCCGATTCTCAAGCGGAGTACCTTAAACGATTTCTGGATCGATTCTCCACCATTCTGCATCAAAATCCTGAGACAAAATATTTTGTAGATTTTTTGTCCATTTTTCCTGATGGGATCCCTTGAAAATGCGGTTTTCCCCTATATGGTCCACTGTGATGACTATATCTTCCCCAATATTCATCCGATTCTCAAGCGGAGTACCTTAAACGATTTCTGGATCGATTCTCCACCATTCTGCATCAAAATCCTGGGACAAAATATTTTTTAGACTTTTTGTCCATTTTTCCTGATGGGATCCCTTGAAAATGCGGCTTTCCCCTATATGGACCACAGTGATGGCTGTAGCTTCCCCAATTCTCATCCGATTCTCAAGCTGAGTACCTTAATCGATTTCTAGATCGATTCTCCACCATTCTGCATCAAAATCCTGAGACGAAATATTTTTTAAATTTTTTGTCCATTTTTCCTGATGGGATCCCTTGAAAATGCGGTTTTCCCCTATATGGCCCACAGTGATGGCTATATCTTCATTAATTCTCATCCGATCCTCAAGCGGAGTACCTTAAACGATTTCTGAATCGATTCTCCACCATTCTGCATCAAAATCCTGAGACGAAATATTTTTTAGATTTTTTGTCCATTTTTCATGATGGGATCCCTTGAAAATGCGGTTTTCCCCTATATGGCCCACAGTGATGGCTATATCTTCATTAATTCTCATCCGATCCTCAAGCGGAGTACCTTAAACGATTTCTGAATCGATTCTCCACCATTCTGCATCAAAATCCTGAGACGAAATATTTTTTAGATTTTTTGTCCATTTTTCGTTATGGGATCCCTTGAAAATGGGATTTTCCTCTATATGGCCCACAGTGATGGCTATATCTTCCCCAATTCTCATCCGATTCTCGAGCGGCAGTTCCGACTTATATACTGCGTGAAAAGGAATGAAGGATGTATGCAAAGTTTCACTTCGATAGCTTTTAAACTGAGATACTAGTTCGTGTAGAAACAGAACGACAAATATGCAGACGGACGGACTGACATGCTTATATTAACTCAGAAGGTGATCCTGATCAAGAATATACACATATACGCTATAGGGTCGGAGATGTCTCCTGCGTTGCACACTTTTGTCAAAATTATAATATAATTATATTACGCTATATACCCAATTCTCATCCGCAAGGGTATAATAAATCAAGAAGAATTATTGTCCCACCTGTAGTGCCTCCAGGGACTCTTCCACGTTGCACACATTTTGAAAAACATTGGAAATCAAACGCTGAACAGTTTCCTCCAACTTTTTCATACTTTTCCGGAAATCAATGACTTGATCATACCACTCCGATCGATGTACATTCAATATATAGGGCTGAGAAGTATCCTGAAGCTTTTTCAGTGTGTCCATGAACTGCTGCTCTACATTTCCGGCAATCTTCTCCAGATCATGCCCACAAGAACCGCCAAAAGAGGACTTGGGTATGGCCTCATTCTCATCCAAGCGACCAAACACAATCATAGACTCACAAATATCAATAACATCGTTTAGACGTTCCACAAAAGCCTCGATATGGTTGAAGATGAGGCCCTCATTGAGGTCCCACTTCTTTTCCTGGCCCTTGGATATCTCCTCGTATATGCCCTTGTAAACCAGGCAACAGTCTATGGCCATATTACACATCTTGATGCCGAAACGTGGCTTACCGGTTAGGATCTCATCCACTTTGACTTGATCTGTGCAGAACCTATAAAAATAATTAAGATTACTTAAAGATTTTAAGTTCTAAGAAGACCCTACCTTATGATTTGGTTACTCAAGTTCCGGAACAATCCCACCACCAGACCAGGCGCGTTATAGAACTCAGAATTTAGCCAAATGAAGCGGATAATGTGGATGATTCGGGGCAAAAGCTTGGTTAGATCAGCTGGACTTGGAGCTACATCGATTTTGGAGCAGGGTTCGATCAGAAGCCGGAGAAACTTTATGTTGGAAAGTGACTGGACCAGCTCCCGCTTGGCCCTTTCAATGAGCTCCTCCATTTGGGGCATGTGAACCGATTGGGCATTCTGTAGAACCTTTAGAATCTTTTGAACATCTAACTGTGCCAACTGGTCGTTGATGCCCTGAAGTACCTCGTCTTCAAGAAGAGATCTATTAGAATTCAGATGGATCTATGTTTTATGTACACTCACAGCGATACTCCCAGAAATCAAACTCATCCTGAACGGTGGCCAAGTCGTGTGGCACCGTCAAGGTGCAATCCGAAAGCAAGGTACGAATCTGAGTGGTCCAGTACAGGGCAGTTACCTCTAGATTTCTCACCAACTGACGATCCACTGGTCCGGTATCCAGTTCGCTGATCACATACGGTACATAGAGGACAGCCATGCCAGCTATCTGATGATGCATTCCGGTGAGAAAGGCCAGAAATCTGTCCAAGCTGGAACAGAAGCGGGTTCGCACAGTAGCGTTCCAATCGCAATAGGTGCGAAAAAAGGGAACATACAAACGTTCCAGCAGCTCCTTGAGACACCCATCGACGTCGCTGGTGAGGGTGCCAAAGGTGATCTCATCATGGAAGCCGTCCACGCTAAATATTTCATTCGGCTCCCGTCGAAAATAGCTCAAATCCGAGACGCATACTGTGGGCATACCTAAATTGGCGGACAAGACGTCCCGGTCATAGTAAATGGTCAGCAAGGGCTCATTGACCTCCAGTAGCCAAGTTCTTATAATGTCCAGTGTGGCCTCCAGCCAATCTCTGTGATCCAGACAACTTAACACGCTCATCCGCTGGATATAGCCCACCAGTTGATGAAGTTCCTCATCGCTGTATGAAGGCTTTGGAGTTTCAGGTCGGATTTCCTCCTGGCGTGGTTCCACACTGCGTTCTATATTTTTAAATAATAATATTTAAATATCTACATATGTATGTTTTAAGTTATTTTAAATTTGATTACCTTCATCATCTGTTAAATCCGAGTCAGTCAGATGCTCATCTTCTACGGCACTGGAGGAGGCCATTTCTTAGATTTCTAAAATATCGAAATAAAAATGGTTTTCCCCATTTTTCAGTTATAGTTTTATACCAATGCTTTACATTAAAAGTTCACAGATTCTAATAATCTAATCTTTATTCTATTTATACAACCTCTGTAGTAAAAGTGGAGAATCCCCGTCTATTTAAACTGGTTATACTTTAAATATTAAAACTACAAACCTGAAAAGAACAACTAACAACCGGAAACTTTAATAAATAACAAAAATCCATGGCAACTTCAAAGTTATTCTAATAACCGCCATTTTAAAGATTAAAGTTAAAAACTTTGAGGTTGGTATTTTTCCTTGCAGCACTAATGCAGTATTTTTTCCCAAGCCCTCAGCTGGTCACATCAAATTGCCTTGCATTTTGGCATCCATTTCAATTTAAACACAGATTTACGAATTTTCGTAATTTTAAATTGGTTTTTAATTATTATATATAAATAATGGCATCTGGTTCAACAAAGGCTAATGACATTGAGAAGCTGGTGCAGCAAAGCAACTGTCTGCTACCCGATTTGTCTATCCGTCAGTCTGATCTCTCCCATCCTTCGGAGGCGATCCTCACTAGGATCTTCATACAGTACTTGAAAGCCTTTGGATTTAGAGTTGAGCCTCCTCACAAAGTGGACTGCGAAGTGTTTGACCCTTCGCGGGAAAAGCGCCTTTTCCTCATCCGGCTTTGCCGCCAAGTAGAACGCATTTTGCAGATTTCATTCCCGAATAAGACATACACCTATGTTGATATAATTAATCCAGGTGAGATCCATTGTTTAGGAGAAATGAGACACCTGTTAAAAAAATTGTAATCCTTCCAGCTGGCAAAAAGACCTTGAACACCTTGGAATTTCTTCTCAACTATTTGGCTTACTACAAGCTCTTTAAGAAGAGCGTCTTGGGACCCGCAGAAGAGGCCGTTAAAAAGAGAGAATCTCTATATGCCGAGTTCACAGCTAAATCGTCGGAGTTAGAGCAACGTAAACAGAAGGCTTCTACGATTAAGAGCGAAATGGAAGTCTGTCAAACCCACATAGAGCAACTGAAGAAGGATCTGGTCCAAGGACAGACGGAACTCGCCCAAAAGAAAAAACCCCTAGGCGACTTAACAAACGATGTGGAGCTCCTCGAGCAGCAACATGGGGAGCTCAACAAAAGGATTTCCCACTTGGAACAACAAGTGGTTGGGGAAAACCAAGTAATGGATCTCAAAAAGTGAGCTCAACGAACTTTTCGACAATATATATTCTAACCCGCTATATTACAGACAAATTCAGGGCATAAACTCGCACATTGAGAGCTGTAAAATGGAACTGGCCAACAAGGAGAAGGTCTTCAATGATCAGCGCCAACAAATCGAGTCCAGCCAGGAAATGGTGGCCGAAATTGAGAAAGCCGTAACCATACTTCCGTCCAATGTAATCGAGGATTACAAGAAAAGCTGCAAGCAACTGGAGGCGATAGAAAAGGAGTTGGCTCAGGTTAAAATACAAGAACAGAAAAGTGTTTACGAGGTGACCGAAAAGCAGCAAGAAATACAGGAGACAGACAAGCAGCTCCAGAGCCGAAAAAAGCTCTTAGATGAGCAGGATAACAAGACCCAGAAGCAAATAGAAGAGCGTAAGGCCAAGATTGACGATCTAGAAAAGATATTGGAGAAGCAGGAGAAAAAAAATCAAGATCTAGAGGTCGAAATCGATAACGAGGACCAGATCCATGCAGCACTTGAAGATAACATATGCCAGGCGCTTGGGGATGATTGGCATTCCCCCGAAGATGTATAATCTTTCACTTTCACTTAATATATTGATTTTATTCTACAAACTGTAAAACAGCTCAGCTCGTTTTTATGGTTAGGATTGAACAAAAGGGGGGGGAGGTTGCCGGTAGATGGTTCACGTCTCCATTTTCTTGCTTTCCAGATGGGCCTTCAACTGTTGGCTGAAGTCATCCTCGACATTGTCGTCATCCCAGTTGTCCTCCCAAACGTTCAGTTCCTCCTCGTCGTCACCGACGCGAAAATCTAAAAGAGTAATATCTTAGAACTTGCTCGATTTTATTATGGAAAGATTTTTCGTACCTTCAGCGGGAAACTCTTCGAATTCATCATCCTCTTCGAGCAGACCCAAGTCCTCGCCCTTGTTGTTGGTCTCCTCCTTATCCTTCTCCTTCTCCTTGTCTGGTGCCGACATTTTGTGTGCGATTTAAAGGCTTATTTCTAGATTTATTTCAGATCGACAATGCTCGGACGCTGTTTTTTGTTGCCAAAATGATGCCTAGTCATTTGTTCCCAGGGCTGACAGCTCTGCCAGTAAACGAATCTGGTATTTTATGAACTGTATGACCGGTCACACTAAAGATGGGTGTTGGAAAACACCTAAATCTTTAAAAGTTATATTTTATTAAATAAAAAAAATGGTTTAAACGATAAATTGTCTTTTTTTTAAACAATAAAATAAAAAAGAAACTCGTAAGCTCTTTAAAAACCAGAAAATATTTACGTATATAAGGATGGGGGTTGCTTGATACTAATTTTAAATATGGTCCTAATTTAACATTAATATCTTCTGGTTTGTTAGAAGCATTAAAATACGTAATATATATTTTTTTTGCATTTAATGATTTTTGTAACATTTTGACTGTTGGCTATTTGACTTTCAAGCTAAAAGGATTATTGAGCATTTGGAGTTTAAGCTACTTTTAAATCGATCGGCTTCGTCTTCGGTTGGTTGGCTATTTTAAACAATTAGAGCAAAAATGTAATTTACTTTAACATGAATAAATATACATAAATATATGTTTTTGTGTTATATATGTTTTATAGGTTTTCATATTGTTTCGTTTGTTCAGTTGTTGCCTTTTGATTTGTTGCTTAGCGAACCATCGGACTTCTATTGGATTGGATTTTTCGTTGTCCAAAGGGTTTTGGTAAATAAATACAAAAATGAAAAGCCTCCTTAATTTCTTCTCTTACTTAATGGTAAAAATTTTGTATGCCAAAATATATCTATATATCCATTTGTTGTTTTGTTTTCTTTGTTTTGTTTATGCATCTAGGTTACATTTAGATGTAAGTTTATAACTGTAGTTCAACATTTAACATTTAGTTGCTGCGTTTTGTTCGCAAAATCTACAATACATAATTAAATAGTTTTTTGATTTTTTTGATACATTTGTATTTGCTTTTAGTCTGTTGCTGTCGTATATGAGGAATAAAACACCATACATTCGATTAGTAATATTCTTGTTCGGTTTCGTGTGCTGTCTTGGGCTCTACCATATATCATTATTATTTCAATCTTAACTTCAATCTTTCGCCTCATTTCTCCACTTTCATACATTATTTTCTTTTTTTTTCATCACAGATGCTCTACGCACAAAATCAAATTAAATTCAATGCAATTATTATCATCGTTTAACAATGGGGGTAGTACAAGCTCCGATTTTGTTCATAATTGCAGTATCTAAATGGGGATTCGGGATAAAGGACATAAAGGACTGCATTATATCCCCATACAAGCCTTACAATTTCCTCATACGCTCGCCCATCGTCTTGTTATTGTTGTGGAGTGAAGTGTGTCGGTTGTGGTCTATTCTATTAAGTTTTATAAGATAATATGAAAGCTTTTCTAGAAAAAGTGTTGTATCACATATAGAGGAAGTGTTAAATATGTAATTCTTTTGTTTTCCATTACGGTATTATCGACTATTTTGCCGCTTTTTTAAAGATTCGTAACAAAGTTTCGCGGTTTGCTGAATTCCACACAAAAAATAGAGTTATTCTTAAAGATTACAGGGTGTATGGTTAAACTTAGTAAAATCAATTAGCTTAGCCTCAATAAAATGCTTCAAAGTAAACATAAAACGGTTCGGATTTCATTTTAGAAAAGAACCGAATTAATTATTTAAAAATTTTCGTTTCGTAGAAGAGCACCAATAAAGTTACGCTTAAAAAATAATAATAAGAAAGTAAAGTAAAAACATGAAGGGGGAAAAAATACATAGTTTTAGCAATAAATACAAAGAGTAAAAGGATAACAGATAAAAATACATTATATAAATACTTAGTATAGCTTATAATTTCGTGTGTGCTGGTGTGTTTTTTGTTTTGGGACTTGTTTGTGTTATATTTTTGTTAAATTTTTTTTTGTTGTTGTTTTTTTTTTAAAACGCTAAGCGTTCTCCAACGGCTTATTTTTGTTGTTGCTTTTTTTACGCGCTTACAAACTATATAAATACACATAAAACATCAAAAATATTATAGCATAGATATATATGCAAGGTTTTTCGGTTAGAATGGTTCGAAATTCTTTCAAATGGTTTCCAAATTTTTGTTTAAAGAATTCTTTAAAATATTACGTTTGTACACTGACTTTTGCTAAGCACTCATCGAGTTGTTGTACTTGAAGATTACCAAAAAATAAAATGCTTAAGCCATTTCGATCCACTCTAACTTTCGCACCTGATAATTACGACTTTTTCCAATATTTGTTCCAAACGAGGATTACTCGCGCCGCGTTCTCTTCGGTCGCGAGGCGGCTATCGAGTCTCCGCCTGGCGACGACGATGCACCCAGTGATGCTCCGCCTGTTGATCCTCCTGCTGCACCACCACCTCCTCCTGGTCCACCAGTCGTGCCTCCGCCCGCTAGAAGACCTTCGCCCGAGTTGGAGGCAATCGCTGTGATGGTGGCTGAAATGGTGGCCGAATGCTTCTCCACACCTCGAACTTTCCGGGAGGCCACCGACTGTGCCGTCACCTGGAGGGAAATGGCGTGGGTGTTGAGCTTCTCGGCCAGGAGCAGGTCCTTCAGGCCCTTCATCTTCTGGCTGTACAGGGTGATGACCGGCTTCTTGAGCATTATCTCGTACGGATCGAACTCATCGCTCGTCTTCTCTATTTTAGCTTCTTTGTGCTGTAGTTTCTCTTGTTGGACTGGGGTTGCGACTGGGGCTTGGCTGGCGTTGCTAGCTTCACTAGTAACTGGCAACTGGACAGATTTTCCGCTTCCATTGCTTGTCGTATTTGTGGTTTTAGTAGCCTCCTTCTCAGCATTGTGGTTGTTATTGTTGCTATTGCTATTGTTGTTATTATTGTTGTTGTTGTTGTTAACGGGCTCCAAAATATCCGTTTCCCTTTCGGCCGATTGCTGCTTCTGATCGGCAAAGGGCTGTCCCCCGCCTTGGAGTAGGAAATCCGGATTGAGAATCTTCTCGCCACAGGCAGCGGTTAAGTCTGCCAAAGTGGTTGGCAATTCGGAGTTTTTAGATTTCTATTTTGGGTTTACAAAAAAACTTTAAAATATATTTTTAAAAAAGATACCCCAACTAACCTCTTCCTTTTTCACAACCATATTGTTGTTTCCCTCCAGAGCCTCTGATCCGGCAGCTTCTTTCGATTCCTTAGCCTCCTGTTCGGCCTGGGCCTGAGCCTGTGCCTGTGCCTGTGCCTTAGCCTGCTCTGTCTCCATATCCTCGGGCAGCTTGATGACCACCTGGGACCTTATATCGTAGTCGAACTTGGTGATGTTGTTCACGAGTGGCTTGGCCCAGCCGATGTGCAAAATGGGCGTTAAACTATCCTCCTCCCACTGGCAAATGCCGTCGTAGAATCTCAATAAATTAGCAAACACTTCGGCATCCCGCAGGATACTTCTGGCCGAATGACCCGAGCTCTCCGTCTTCATAACATATGGAATCAGCTCGTTGGCAATGTCCAGTAGCTCCTTGTAGATTTCCTCATCATCCCGACACTGGTACGTGTACAAACGAATCACATCCGCAGCGTTGGCCCAGGCGGCAAAAGCATCTCTGTACTTTAGCAGGCGATTGTAGTAGTTTCCCTGGTAGGTGTACGGATAGACATGATGGTTCCGGTAATGGGTCCTGGCCGATTCAATGGCCTCGCGGTAGAGCTGCTCGCAACTTATGCTCGAGTGGGTGCGATGGATCTCCTCCAGTTCGCCGAGCGTGCCCAGGGCCATGGGATAGCGTTTAAGGTGACCCAGGTCGTAGAGGAGCCACAACAGCTGCTGCTGGAGGTCTGCCACCTCGACGCAATCACTATTCGAGGTGAGGGAGATGTTCAGGGCAGCACAGATGGCTGCCACCTCCATTCCACGCTCGCAAATCACCGCCAGACCACCTTGTGGAAAAGTTCAGACCATTAATACCTCATGATGATCTGGAAAAGGATAAGATAGTTACCCAAATACAGCCAAGATCCAGATTCAATGCCAGGGCGTATGTCCTGCCCGCGCTTATCCTCACTGCCCTTTCCGTGCCATGTCACTTCGATGGTCTCCACTCGCTTCTGCCCAAACACCACCCAGGCATGATCCTCCGATATGGCCAGCCGCACATCCTTGTAGCCCAGCAACTGGCAGCCAGCCACCACCGCCAGGGCCACTCCAAAGCAGTCCAACTTGTTCCCAGACAAATAGCTGTAGAGATTTTGGAGATGCGCCCGATCCTTGTAGCTGCTGCGGATCAGCGAGTTCCAGATCACGTCCGACACCTTCTTGATCACCTCCCGGGTGGCCTGCCGATGGGGTTTCGGCTTGTCCACCACCGACAAAATGGTTTGGAACTTCTTGTACAGCCCGGCGATCAGTTCGTGGGTCACTACCGGAAAGGGCACAGTATTGCCCATGATCACGTCATTTCCACCTGGAAAATAATGAATAATTTATAATTATGGCATAATCTAGATATCTCCATAATTAAATATTGTATGTTCGACCAATAAAGGACCCAATTAGGGGTTAGTTAGTGACCAACTGCCCTACAAGCCAATTTGCAAACATTTCCGCTTTCAACAGTTACCCTTTTGCTAATTGGTTAACGGTAAACGGAAAGGCAAGACCCGCAAGATAAATTAAGGAATATTGCACACCTGTCCCCGCCTGACTGATGTCACCTGCTGCTGCTGCTGCGGCGGCGGCCTGGGCAGCTTGTGCCGCTGCTTCCCCCGTGGTCAGCGATAGCTCGATGTAGCCCACGACGATGGAGAGCAGTGTGAGATCTGGTTCGATGCCGGAGGTTAATGCACGCCGGAAGAGATTCACCACATCGGCGGTGGACTTGAGGGGGAACATGCTGGGGTCGATGATGCCGTTTAAGGCCATGGGACTGGCACTGGCGCTTCTTGTAACCGTGGACATGGCTGTTGTGCAGTGGTTCCTCTACTGGAATGTTTAGAGGAATGTTTAATGGATTTCTGGTGGCTTAGATCTACTCTAGTCTTACCCTTCTTGAAAGTTTGCCTTCAAAAATTTACTTCTTTAAAAAAAAAAAGGATTTAATATTAATATTCTAGTAATTTTAAGAAACTCTTACCTTTCAGATAATTTTCTGTGATTTTGGCTATATAGATATAGATAGTTTTCATATATCAATCAAGGTTATATCCAATTATTGAAGATTTTGTCATGTTCCAGAAACACCTACATGTATGTGTATCCCTTAATGATCCTGGAATATCCCTGGATGTTAATCGGAATGCCGTTGCAAGTTATGCCATCTAATTACCTTGCTGGGAAGTCCTGTGTGCTATTCCACCTGTTCGCTTGCTTGTTTTTTGTTTTTTTTGTGGGGTTCTTTAGAGAGTGTTTATCCTGTTCCTGGGCCGGCGGTACCGCAATGGCCACTGGCGATGTTTAGCTGGTGTAGCTGCTTGTACAGCCAGCCACTTTGTGGCTGCAACATTGGCAACAAGTTGACAAACAACTTTTTGTCGTTGTTGTCGCACCTTCTTGGCCCTTTTTTTTTTTTTTGCAATGCTGTTGCTACCGCTTTTTATTTTACTTTTTTTTCAATTTGGTTTTTTTTTTTTTACAAAGCTTTGTACTTAAGAGCAGGATTTTTGCTGCAACTTATTTGCTGCAACAACAACTAAAACAACAACAACAAACTGGTTTCCCGCTGCATTTTGCTTGGGCCTAATTGTGTATGTGTATGCATCTGGTGCACTGGAAAAATATGTATATATCCTGTCCTTTCGCTGTCCTTCGCCTTCGCCTTCGTCCACGTCATCAGGTAATCGGCTCACGAGGTGAGGAGCAGGTGAATTTCTCGTCAAATTTCGTCGTCGCTTGTTTTTGTTTTTTCTCAGCTCCTGTTTTTGTTTTTGTTTTTGTTTCGATCAACCCGCCACCCCCCTTTTTCGATAAATTCCTTTTTTTTCCGACCGTATTCCGTATGAATTTTATTCAACTCGATTGGATAAACGTTCCTTAGTGTTTTAAGTTTATTTTGAGCGCTAGTTTCGGTTGATTACTGCGACGCGAACCAGGTGAAAACCAGGTAAAATTCCGACAAAATATTGCGTCGTGTTGTGTTTACCTTGTTGCGCCAGTGTTTGCACACCCAGCACGTGCCCAAAATATAGAACAGTGCTGCAAAACGATCGAGTGAGCAAGTAGTCCCACCAAATTTAATTTAAAATTCAAAAGAGTCTTATTAATTAAAATAATTGACTATTATTTGGAAAGAACACTTATTTTAACTGCCTTTAAATATTTATAATCCAAAATTGGATAGATTTTAAGCACAAAATAAATTATAACATATGTTATTGGCTAACAGTGGACATGTTAACAGACCGTTTTTGTGCCAGTCTGGTAGCTCTGGTTGCACGCGGCCAACTAAAAACAAATCAGAAATGGAGCAAACGAATCCATTTTACGACTTAAGTATAATATACAACAAAGATGACAAGGTGATGCGGGCCCTATTGAATGAACTCGTGGACTGTAAGCTATATACAATGCACCTAGAGTCTTAAATTCAAACTAGTCTTCAATTCCAGTGGGCTACAAGACCATTGCCATCGAACAGAGCTTCGATCACAGCAAAAAGGAGCCTGGAAAGCGGGGATCCGAGATGTTTCCCGAGCCCCACAAGATCGAGCACCTGCGCAAAGAGTTCCAGGGCAAGCTGAGGATCCTTCAGAGAATAACCATTCTCTACGTGGACGTCAATGTCTCACATGCAATGGTAAATTATTGAAGTTAAAAGTTGTTCCGATTTGCTAATTCGTTTAATCTTTTATGAAGAGTGTTTCACTGAATCTGCGAAAGTTCAACGTTATAGCTGGACAACCCAAAACCGATGCTGCGCTGACGGTAAGTCATCAGACACCCCACATTTTCATTAAATACTAAACTCTTAAAAAACTTTTAGCACTGCTGCACTTCTTTTAATGGCGAGCTTGTCACCTTTGATCCTGTGGCTGGTTCCAGGCTGTTGGTTAATCGAAAGGCGTACCAAATAGCAGTCCGACGTGGCATGTTTTTCGAAATCAAGTATGCTCCTGCGATAGCCGATTCGAATAACCGAAAGGACATGATCAAAATTGCCCAGAACTACTGCACCAAAGGCAAGTCAAAAAACATTATCTTCAGCAGCGGGGCAGTACACGAGTTCCAATTGAGAGGCCCCTACGATGTTGCCAATTTGTAAGTCTTTCTATTTAAAACTAATTAAACTATACCTATAAAATATTCACTCTTTTAGAGCCTATATATTTGGTTTGTCAGAGGATCAGGGCAAGAATGCTGTGGATCGGAACTGTAGGAAACTTTTCTTAAAAGCCGAATCCCGGCGCATGGGAAAGACGATCATGTTTGTCAAAGGAAATGGACCTATCGTTTTCTCAGACAGTTCCGAGGCAGAAGATGATCAAGAAATGGAGGATCTTCAAGCAGAGTTGAATGAAACTAGGGAAAATAATCAACCCAATAAAAGACTAAAAGTGCACTGAACCAAAAATAAAATATTTTATTTAATGCAAGAAAACCATAATATTAAGACATTTTTTTAAAGTAAATTTTTTATTTAAATTTACTGGAATTTTTCAAAATACTAAAAAATCCTTTTCCAGCCCTGGCACTTTGACACTTTAACACTATAGTACAGGGTGATTAGGAATTGACACCGGGTGGTGTCAGAAATCGAGAAACGAGAAGAACTGCAAAACACCGATACTATCGCGGAAAAAAACAAAATGGAGACACATTAAAACGCGTTACACGGAATTTGGCTGCGAGAAATTTGCGTTAAACGGTAACTAAAAGTGCAAATTAATTGGTAAAAAATGTAAAAAAGCCGTCGCCAAGTGGCCGGCAACTAAATCCGCCGAAAACCCCATCGAAATTGAGCGTATTTTAAGCGAAAATTGTATTTGAAAAAAAGAACCCGGAGCAGAGACACTTGAAAAGAAAAAATGTGCAAAGAAGAAGAAAGAAGAGAGCTGAAGAGAGAGGAGAGCGCACACAAGTCAAGCAACGAGACGAGAAAAAACGGCAAAAGAAATATGTATTTCGCGAGACGACTAAGAAAAGCTGAAAAGCATCAGCCAATGTCCAATTTTCAATTGTTTTTCGCCGAAAAACCCAGTGCATTTGTGTTCGTGTGTGTAATTAATTAATTGGAACATCAAAGAACACCCCAAAAATCAAATGCGAAAGTGTGAGCTGTAGTTTTTTTTTGCCTGCCTTGCCTGCCTACCTTCCTGCCCCCTCCCGACTAATATAATTAAAAATGGACCGCCTGTGTGTGAGAGTGCGTGTGTGTTTGCGATGCTCGTTTGTTTGATTGTAATCATCGCCTTGATTATTGCTTGCTCTTTTTTACGTTTTTTGTCTTTACCTTTGCTCGCCATTTTCTTTCTCCCACGAAAAAAAAAAAAAAATTAGTGTTTCCCTTCGATTAATTTCTTCTTTTTCGCGTATCGCGCGTTGAATAAATTTTTGTGTATGTATTGGTGCCCCGATGCAGTGTTGCCAACATTATTCGCTTGTTCGGGAGATGCAGCGCCGCACATTTTGCACCTGTGCAGGAGATGGCCTCCTGAATCCTCCTCATCCCGCTCCGCTCCGCACCGCACCGCATCGCACTTTACACCCCCACATTTGTCCATCTGCAATAATACAGTTTCTCTGCAATCGCTGCTCTGTTTCCATTTCTCGCTGGTCTATTCAGATTTTGTTATTGTTGCGATCAAGGGGGGTGGGCGTGGAGTGGAATCAAAGTGCCAAGATATATTCATAAAATACAAATGGCAATTACAATTAAGTCTTAAATAGGTTGCATTGTGATTCATTTGTGAAATGTTTTTTTTTTTTTATTTGTCTGTATGTACTGGTTTATAAATAATTGGAAAACAATGCTGGTTCCGTTCAGGGAAAGATTTCAAAAAAATAAGATTTAGATGCTAGTATGTTCTAGTTGATCTAGAGATCCTCTAGATTGTTCTTCTAGAGCACTCTTATTTATTTACATAATCTTAAAAGAATTAAAGATTCCAAACCCCATCCGATATTGATGAGTTGGAGGTGACCACTCTGTCACCGTTACACATGTAGATACAATCAGGGGCGCACCGATCTCATTTCAAGAATCCAAGGGGGTCTTATTGCTGTTTTAACAGTCAAGGATGGGAGGGAGTTGGTGGGGCGAGCTTAGACCACAATATACTGCTTTTCCCCTGCGTACGCCACTGGATACATTGCATATGCAACGGTATCCCCGTTTCTTGCTCTTCTTTGATTGCTTTTTGCTCTGCTTTCTGCTTCGGCCTCTGTCAACTCATCAGTCGTCGTCGTCTGCCTCCCTTTGTCCCCCACACCACACCACCCCGAACATACAAACACACACAATTTAGCTGCTTGGACACACGTTTTTCTAGCCGGGCCACTACTATACCTCTCCCGCTCTCCCTGGCTCTCGGCCGCTATGAGAGAGAGCGTAAAATTCATGCGCTTATCCCTGCTCTCGACGCGTCGCGTCGTCTGTTGTGTGTGTCTCTTCCTCTTCCACTCGGCGGCTGTAACAATTTTTTTTTCTTTTCTCCATTTCATCTTTTTTTTTCCACTTCTGCAATTACGAGAAAGAAGAAGCAGAAAAGGCAGTGGCAACTTCCAGCAATATCTATCGATTTCTTTGTTTCTTTTCGGCTGCAAAACTCAACGTGCGAGTATATATCATGTTTAATTGTAATTATCGTGCGTCAAGTGAGTGAATATGAGCATGTGTGGTGTCTGTGTGTGTGTGCAATGAGAGGAGCTAGCTGGCTGGCTGGCTGACTAGCTGAAGAAGAAGCAACAGCCTCGCAAAGTCGCGACGGAAAAAACTGCAATTGCAATCGTTGCGCTTTTGTAGTTTCTCACCATTGCTTCCTCTTCAGATTTCTGCTTCTTACTGTGGCAATTGTGCTACAATTATTATTTCGCATGTGTGTATCTATACTTGAATTAGCATTGTTGTTCTTGTTGCAATTGCCATTGTTTCTGTTTGTGTTTCTGTCACTCTTGTCATCTGTCTGTCATTCTCCTGCAAATCGCAAATCGCGAATCGCGCTATGCTTAACTATCGATAACTTGCGTCCAAAATGATTGCGTGACCAAAAACCGAATCGGAAACCACCGACACACAAAAAAAAAAAAAATACAACCCACAGGGAGAACAACCTTTAACGTAAAACCCTACCTAAAAATTAACTGTAAATTGTGAGAACCGGCGATAATAAACAAGATAAAGTCAAATGGATTAGCTGCAAAACGAACGAAAAAAAAAAATAAACGGAAAATAAATATATAAAATGGTGAGTAATACTATTTTTAGTTAAACTTTACTGATAAGTACATTGTGGCGAAGAGAAACGTGAAATCGCGAGCGATTTACAACAATGGCCAGGCAGAAAATGCTTTTTAGAAATAATTATGTATCTTTAACCAAAAGCAGATACACACGTACGTACAATCACTCATACAGACAGACAGCCAGCCAGAGACAGACGACGAGTCGCGGCGAGACGAACACGCACACACACACACACACACACGAACAACGGAATTGAGCGAAAAACTCGCACACAAACACGAGCGAAATAATTTCAATCAACTCTTTTTTTTTTCTCCCATTTTGGTGGGGGCAACCCGACCGAATAAGAAGAAGCATCAAAAGCAGCGAAAATAAAAAGCGTCACACGCCCCCGTTGGCCCTCTCTCTGAGCGTCTCTGCGTGCCCCCATCCCCCCAACCTCCCCCCCACTTGTTAATATGCGAATAAAGCTAAAAGTAAAGCCGAGTGGGCAGCTCAGTTCTCCACTCCACTCATTGGTTACCGTTGTTGCTGTTGCTTTGGGGCTGCGGCGAAAAAAAAAAAATTAAAGTAATAAAAAAAAAAGGAAAGAAGAAGAAAAAATAACTTTGTTGAAGTGCAAATGAGAAAATTACAAATTACAGTAAAATTTTTAATAGCACTGAAAAAAATAAAAAGCAATATAATAAATATATTTATTATTTTATGATAGTATTTTTGAAGGATTAACAGTGTAGATTCTTAATAGGGGAAATAATAATTGATATCAAAGAGGTTGGACTGTATTAATCGAAAGAGCGACGACACACTCAAAACGCCAAACAAGAAGAAGAGTTGATGAAGGGCGAGAGAACCGATGGATGGGAAAAGAGGAAGAGGCGCAGAGGCTACCAGCGGCGACCAGCAACCATAATATCATCCCATCCATCCCAAAAAACCGAATCAAACCCGACCAAACAACACAAGGCCCATCACCAACAACAACAACAATAACAACAACGATAAAGCAAACATATGAACGACGACGACCCCAACTCACAAACACCACGAAGCACAAACAAGCACAGATACAGATACAGATACATACAGACAAAAGGCAGCAGCAGCAGCAGCAAACCCAAAGGCGGCACCACGATATGCGAATGCGAATAAAATAGCAACAACAACAACAACAACAGCAACAACTATGCGGCGAATTTGCACGAATCATGCGAATCCCCAATACTCATACACACACACACATATATCAACATACACCTACAAATACACACTTTATTCCATGCATAATACGTGTTGTGTACTTGTCGCCGTAGCCGTAGCCGTAATGTTGTCGCCGCCATCGAAATCGCCATTTCTTTTCTTCATTTTGTTTTGGATTGCCTCTTGTTTGTGGATTTTCTCATTTCATCTCTTTCCATCTGTCAATTGTGCTGGCCACCCAACTTTAACTTCAAAGATTCATATTCAAAAGATACAGTATCTGTATCTCAAAAGTACTCATTTATCCAAACCCCCTCTCAGTAGTTTCTATTAACCCCTCAAACCTACTTAAAGTTAATCATTTATTTATTTATTTTTATATTTTATTTTTAAATATTGTTTTGCTATCGCTCTGTACTCGGTTCATTCGCATTTTTGTTTTGACTGGGCTCATCGCCGCCTCCGTTGCCCACTCTCTTTCTATACGAAACAGACGGTCTGTCGCTTTGTCTGTCTCTCTGTCGCTTTTGCAGTCATCGCCAGCTGCTACGCCGGCAGCGCTGCCGCCAAAGGCCGGCACACGACCGAACCCCCCCTATTACCCCAGGCCAGCCCCTCCATGGCGCCCCTCCCCGCCCCGGCTTCCACCCCCCTTCTCGTACGTCTGCCGCAGCACGTGATATACTCGCTTTGCTTTTGTAATTTTGCTTTTCATTCGATGTTTAGCGCACGCTTTGCTTTGCTCTCTGTGTTTTTGTTGTTGTTTTTTTTCTTTTCTTTTTCGGTTCAACATTTTTGCTTTTATACACTCGTTTCACTTGTTGGGCTGTTTTTTTTTCCCTTCGTTTTAAATTCTCTCAGCCACTCTCTCTCAGCCATCTCTCTCAGTTGGCCGTGTCGTGTGTTTTCGCCGCTCTCTCGTTTTCAGCCGGCACGGTACTGGGAGCGAAGTACGCTCTGGTTCTCATATTTAGAGCTCTCTGGGTTTATTGTTGCTAGATTTTTGACAATGGGCACCTCTATATCCTCTATATTCGATCCGGTTTAGGTCCAGGTGCAAATTTTATACAACCGTTTAACTCGATAATCGGGTCAGGACTTGTATCTGTGTGTTTGTCTGTGACTGTGTGTGTGTGTGGCTTCTCACTTCCCTTTTTGTATAATATTTTGTTAATTCTAGCGGGAAACATAGCGTCAGTTTTTATTGTCGCAGGCAAACACCTTTGCCTTGCCTATTCCACATCTTTCATCTTTTGTTGCACTGTTTGGCAACTCTATTTGCAACGTCATCAGGCATCAATGCTAGAGGTGAGCTGAGCCGATTAGGTTTAAAAGATATAGCAAGTGAAGTGAGATACAGATACTTAAAAGATAAGTATCTTGGAAAGTATCTTTAAAAAGATTCGCTTGGGCATGCGATACATTCCCGCCCCCCCATCTCTAATGCCAATTGAGCTTCCCATAAATGTACCGTTACACATTCAAAAAGCTGCGACGTGTTTGTAATTTTTGCCCAGCAAACTTTTGTGAGTTGTTTTGTGTTTGTCTCCGCTCTCCACTGGCTTTTTGGAGAGGAGAGGTTGGAGAGGGTTTTCGTAGGGGAGTTAGTAGATGAATTGGCGGCTCTCCGCATGGGTCTTTGGCTTTTCCGAAAACTGTGTGTGGCTTTATGCCTTTTCGCTGTCGCCGTCGCCTGATGCTTCTTCTTCATCTTGAACCAGAGCTGGTGTTGGTGCTGGAGCTGGAGCTGCCGCTGTTACTTTACCTATTTTATTACCATTTTTATGTACGTATGTTTGCTTGTGTGTATGAGTGCGCGTTTTGCTGCTGCTGCTGCGCCCATCTGTCTCTGCTCTGCTTCTTTGCGTTTCACCAACAACAACCCCCTCCCCACTCCACCCCCCTCCTCCTCATTTATATATTGCTCTTTGGCTCGTTTTTGGACCGAGTTGAGTGACGGACTTGGCTGAATGTTGAATGTGGCTGGCTGGCTGGCTGGGGCTGGGGCTGGGGCTGGCTGGCTTTGGCTTTTCTTACACAAACCAACTGTACTTTTTAGTTACTGTTAGCGCGGACCCAGCCACTTGACTTGATTGTTATTAAAGCAAGATTCATTCGCTCATACATGAGCCAGCCTTGCCTGCCTACCTATCTATCTATGTATCTGTAAGTGTGACGGTGTTTCTGCAGAGTTCACGGGCTGTCTACAATATCTTCATAACAAACACATTTCTAATACACTGGGAAAAGTCAGAGGTTATTAATGGTTTAATTATACATAATATTTTTTAAAATATGTTTCTAAAGATAAGAATTAAAGTGGAATAATTAAAAGATACTTTTTTAAATAAGTATAAATACTTCAAGCCCCTATTAAATTTCAAATATTTGTCACAAAAGGCCATTCAGCAGAGTTGGCCCTAAAAAAACGAAATAAAGCCACAAAGCAACTGTCAAAAATTGTTAGCCAACTAAAAACATTAGCCCAAGACTTCAGGTGAATGAACCTTTTTCTTTACTTTTTTGTTTTGGATGTTTATTGTATTTGTTTTTGTATTGTTGTTTAAATTTTTAATCATAAACCTGGTTTTTGAATTCAACTTACACTGTAGTTGCTAAAAAGAGCAATCCCATCGATGGGTTAAATTTTTTTTAAAGGGGGATACTGTGGGAAAAAGTGAGTGTATCTATGTATATGGAGTGAACCTTTCAAAAGCTATTTTCATGGCTCATAAAATGATGATTGAAAAGGAAAAACAGTAGATACACAGTGGGAATTACAGTAGTAAAAATATAAAAATGATTTTAGAAAATATTCGTAAAAAAGTTGAAAATGTTTGAGGCATTTTTATAATAAATTTAAAAGTATAAGTAAAAAGTATTTAGTTAAGAAATTTAGAGATAGAGGTGATAGAGATAGATTTAAGAAACAATAAAGAAATGAATTTTTAAACACCAGAAAGCTTATTTATAAATGAAAAAAATATAACATTTTATAACTCAAAGTTAAATAAATCCATGAATGTAGATAAAAATAAAAATTATAATTAAGACCTTGTTCACTTTAAAGATGTCTCACTGTAGACTTGCCATGAAAGCTAATCCCCAAGCAATTTTTGTTGCTGGTTCTGAGGCGGTGGGTTGGTGGGTTGGTTGGTTGGTTGGTGGTGTCGACATCGTCGGGTCACAAAAATGTGGCTCGCGTCGCGTCTTTGTCGTTGTTTTGGACCCACTGAAATTTGCTTGTCTATTATCACCTTTAATCGATTTTTCGCTTATTTAAAACAAATGTACAGTTGTGCGCAGCGACAGACAGACAGACATAGACATAGACATAGCTATAGCCATAGACATAAAGAGAAAAAGAGAGGCGGCGAGTAAAGTATAATTTCACAATTTTTCAGATGTCTGCTTTGCTTACACAAACAGAAATACAAACAAACATACAATACATGCCGCCAAACATACAAACATACATACATACATATGCATATTACTATTGCTTTTAGTTTATTGTTTTTGCAATTACTTGACTTGATTTGTTTGTGTAAAAAGCCACGCCAAAATACAAAAAAAATAAAAATAAAAAGGTGAGCAGAAGAAGTAGTCAAGAAATGAAAACTAAAGCGAAGCGTGGAAAGGAAAAAAAATGCGACACACACACACACACTTAATCACTGATAGATATCTGCCAGATATACAAAAGTAAAGTCTGGCCACACAATCGCACAGATGTAGATACATATGTACATATTGTATGTATGTATGCAACACTCGCCTAATAATAATGGCAAAAGCTGAAACTAAATAAATAAATAGCTGAAATTGCAAAGCGAAATGTAATTGATTACGGCAAAGTCAAAGCAGCTAGAGCTGCCACCTCGAGGGCAACAAAAACAACAAATGCACTGAGAGAAATTCTAAGGGGGATTAATAATTTATTTATATAAAATTATATATTATAATAATAGGTTAAACGATTTTAAAGAGAAATATTTAAAGCCTTTTCAATTTTTTTTTTATAAATTAATTTTTTTTAAATTTAAAATATTTCTCTCTGTGTATGTACAACCGAGACGGTGACGACTGGCTAAATGATTGTCCAATGAGCGCGAACGACTCACAAACTTGCCATAAAGAGGCACGGCGGGGGGGTAAGGAAGGGGTGGATAGTGGGTGGCTTCGGTGGGGTGTTGGAGCGCGGTGCTAAGCTCCACCGCTTAGCCCATGTCAACCACACTCCTCCACCACCATACTCTACTCCACATAAGTTATACTGATGATGTGCTGTAGTATCTGTGTGAGGGGAGTATGATTGTATCTGTGCGGGTTATAACTGTACACCGAGGCAGCACCAGCACCAGCAGCGGCAGCACCAGCGAATTTCGGTTGTGTGCAAGTGCATATCTCTATGTACTCTCGGTAGTTTTGTGTCTATATCTCACCACTTTCCATTTGCAAAAGTATAAAAACAGACACCACACCTTGCCTTTGCCACCATGCCATCGCCACCACCACCCTCCCTGCCCGCTCTATTTGCATATCTTTGGGTTCGCGCAGCTTCCACCAACAACAACAACAACAACAACAACAATAGAAGCAACTAAAACAACAACCAGTCAGTCAACCCACCCGCATTTTTTTTATGGTTTCTGCTGCTGCTCGCCTTTTTTCCTTCATTTTTGCTCTCCGAGTGGCTCTGCTACTTTAGATTTTTCGGCCAAAAAGCAGCCACGGAGACAATGCGAAAAATCGATAGAGTTTCCATTGTTTTTTCCCACTGTCGCCGCACAAGATTTTCCACTCAACCCACCACCACCACCTCTCATCCCACCATCTAAAACCACCTCCTCCTCCTCTGGAAAGAAAGAAAAGCCAAGCAATTTTCTGAGTTATCTACCCCCTTTTGCAGCAAAAGTGAATCATTAATTAGTTTTTATAGCTTTTAAAGCCTTGATTATATCTTCTATATATACTATATAGTCTAGTAGTATTAATGACAATATTGCTCAACCATTTGGGGGGTCAAACTGTACGTTGTATGTGCCAAACTATGAAATTCATAAGCGTATAGCTTTTCCCCTTAAAAGTTGAAGCAAAGCCAACAATTGTCAACAACAGAGGTTTAAGAATAATGATTAATAATTAAGAATAAATTATATTTTATTATTTGTATTTAATTTTATATATCTTTTCTTATCTTTGCAGATCTCTCGCTTAAAATACGCTCAACATAGTGTGGATTACTGTGCTCTTATATAGAATATAACCCATATTTCTAACCAAGTTTCTGTATTTTTTTGTTGTAGCTGTGAGCGAATGTGTTTCACTGCGATTATGTCAAAGATCGGCCATGGGACACAAATGACCTTACCATATGAAAGCAACCAGAAGACGTTCAATTGCACACCAGTTGTAATTAAGTTTAGTAGTTAGAACCAACATATATAATATATAATTGCAATCGATTGGGCAATAAAAATAATATATGAGATATAGAAGAGACTAAGCCAAGAGATCGATCTTTAGGGTTAAACGATACTTTTGAAACAACCCCCGCCCGCGTCTATATCCGGGTTCCGGTCTCTGTGGTGTCTCTGGCTACACCTTTTAACCTTTCGACAACGGCCAAGCGCAGAGAGCAGCATCAAAATTAAGCCAATAGACGAGCAAATCTAAAACGCAGCGGCGTGTCGCCGGCGTCCTTCGACGCGTAACGGACATTTCTGTGTGCGCTGCGTTTCAAAAATCTGATGGATGGAAATGCACAAAATATGTTTCACGGAAATCACCAAGGGTGAGTTCACCACCAACCCCCAACCCGGGGTATCTAATGGGATAACTTGGCCTTGAAAGGATTAAAATTAAAACCCTCTAATAATATATATATATTTTTTTTTATTGATTTATAGAGATCCCTATTACCGTTACGATGCAGCGGCAGCCGCAGCAGCAGCAGCGGCGGCTAATCCACGGGCCATGGGTCCGCCCGGTGGCTACCCGCCGCGTCATCGCGCTCCCCACCCGCTACAGCAACAGCCCCAATACCCATCGTACCAGCCAACGGCGGAGAATCTGTACGGGCTGGGGGCCGCCGATCATCAGGCAGCCATGGGTCTGGGAGTCGGCGTTGGTGTCGGCGTCGGTGTCGGCGGCATGGGCGATCTAAGCGGCTGGGGGGCAGCACCGACCGGCGTACCGGGCCAGGCAGCGGCGTATCCGGGCGCGGGTCTGGGTGCCTACGGTCATCCGCAGGCAGCTCCACCGGCGCAGCAGCAGCGTCAGAGCAATGCCAGCGCCTACCGGCAACACATGCCCGCCTACGGACAACAGGATCAACAGAAACTAGCCCCCTATGGTGCCCAGCAGGTGAGGAATTTTTGTTTTTTTTTTGGGAAGCATATCAGTGGCTTTAATCGAATCTTAATAGCAGGGCATGATGGCGGGCTATGGATCCCAGCAGCCACCAACGCCACAGCAGCAGCAGCAGGTGCAGGCGCAGCAGCAGGCGCAGCAAGTGCAGCAGCAGCAGGCCCAGCAACAGCAGCAGCAGAGTCAGCAGCAGGCTCGGCTGCCGCAGCATTATCCTCAAGCGCCAGGACAGCATCCGCTGTATCCTGGTGTGGGAGCACCTGCAGTCCAAGCCGGACAACCGCCCACGCCCCAGGGCTATGCTCACAGTCCCTACGGCAGCCCCATGCAGCACCAACCCGGCCGAGGAGCTCCGCAGCACGTGGGCTACGGGCACTCGGGCCTGGATCCAAATCAGGCCTCCGCCTACGGGCAACATGTTCCAGGGGCAGCTCCTCCGGGCCACCATCAGCAGCAGTTGGGTGCCCATCAGCAGCAGCAACTGCAGTCGCAGCAGCAGGCGCAGCAGGTGCAGCAGCAGGCACAACAGCAGCAGCAGCCACACGTGTCACTGATGCAGCAGCAATTGCCGGGGGCCGGACTGCCGCCGCCGCACATGGGCATGCCGCCCAGCTACGGCAGCCACCACCAGCAGCAGCAGCAAGTCCAGCAGCAACAGCAGGCCCAGCAACAGCAGGTCCAGCAGCAACAGGCACAACAGCAACAGCAGCAGGCTGCTCCGCCCTACATGTCCAAGCAGGCGGCTGTCCAGCTCAACTCCTCGCCCCAGTATCGTGCACCCTTCCCCCAGCTCTCGCCACAAATGTCGCCCCGCCCGCCGACCATGTCGCCGCATCCCCAGATGTCCCCGCGACCGGTGGGCGTGTCGCCCGCTAAACCACCGGCCCCCCAGCAAGCGCAGGCCCAGCAGCAGCAACAGGTGCAGCAGCCTCAGCAGCCCAGCCAGCACAGCATCCAGGGCATGGTGGGATTGCCGTCTCCGCGCCCCCAGCCACCTTCCGCAGCAGTTGGTGGAGCAGTGGTGGGTGCCGGGTCGAAGGTTCCAGTGCCGCCAGTAGCGGCACCTGTCAACACATTGCAGGCCCTCGAACAAATGGTGATGCCCACGCAGGCTCACGGCCTACCGCCCATGGACTACCCCTCGGCGTACAGGAGCGCTGTGGGCCCCAGGATGCCGGCATCACCGCAGCAACAGCAGCAGCAGCAACACCACCAGCAGTGGGGCAGCCAGCACATGGCTGCCATGCAGCAGCAACAGCAGGCGGCCCAACAGCAGCAGCAGCAAGCCCAGCAGCAGGCTCAGCAACAACAACAGCAGCAACAAGCGGCGCCGCAACAGCAACAGGCAGCCATGTTGCAGGCACAACAGCAACACCACCAGCAGCAGATGAGCATGTACGGCCAGGCGATGGGGCAGCAGCAGCAGCAACCCCAAGCGCCGCAACAGGTTGTACCGCCAGTGGCTGCCCAGGTGCAACCTCCGCAGCAGCAACAACAGCAGCAGCAACAGCAACAACAACAGCAGCAGCAGCAACAACACCAACAGCAGCAACAACAATCGCTGAACGATCAGCTGCAGCACTCCATCAACGACATTGTTGGGGGAGGAAGCAGCTCCGGAACCACGACCAGCAGCCAGAGCAGTCAGCAGCAGCAGCAACTGCAGCAGAGCCTGCCGAGCATGCACCACTTGATCCAGCCCACTCTGGAATCCACCCAGCAGACGCAGGCTGCCCAGCAGCAGCAGCAGCAACCGCAGGCGGCGTTGACATCGCCGCACCACCAGCAAATGCAGCACCAGTCGCCGATCCACCAGCAGCAGCAACAGTCCCCCCACCACCAGCAACAGCACACCTTGCCCAGCTACAACCAGTCCCAGCAGCAGTTCGATCCATTCGCGAACATCCTGGGCGACAATCAGGCTCCAGCAGCGCAACATGTTAGCTCGCCAGCCCATGTCAGCTCCCCGATACCGGCCCAGATGCAACAGCAGCAGCAGCAGCAGCAACAGAGCCAGCAGCAGCAGCAACAAGTGCCGCAAGCTCAGCAACAGCAGGCGCCAGTGCCGCAGCAGCAGCCGCCACAGCCCACAACACCGTCTCACCATCTGAGCAGCATCCTCAATGAGACGGCCAACTCAAATGATTCCTCGACGCTGGCGGTGGCCGCCAACGACAGCAACAACAGCAGCAGCAACAGCAGCACCAACAGCATCGTCAACAACCAGCCCACTTCGGTGCACGACAGCAACTCCCAGAGCAGCATAAACAGCAGCAGCAACAACCAGCAGCAGCTGCTCATGGACAACACCAACTCGCACGGCGGCAACTCCGAGAGTGCGCAGCACGTGGGCGTGGACGTGGGGCTCTTCGACAACAACTCCATGTCCTCCAACTCGGCAGCAGTCGCTGCAGTGGCTTCTAACGCCTCGGCCGCTGCTGCCGCTCTTCTGGACAGCAACTCGCAGTCTTCGAACGCCGAGTTCGAGAAGAACCAAAGCGAAAGCGATGGTCTGGGACTGGGAGGAGTCGTGGCCAGCGAGCCAGAGCTGCCGCAGGACGAGTCGAGTATCTCCAAGACGCAGGAAACGAGTCTGAGTACAGAGCTACCGGCCGTTCAAGAGGAGCAGCTGGAGAAGCCAACCGACGAGGTGGAGCAGACGCAGATCAGCCAGCCGTTGGGTGACATGAACACTTCGCTCTCGGAGGATGCCAAGAGCACCGACGAGGTGGGAGAGGACAAGTCCGGAGCAGTGCCTCCGATGGAACCACCGCCACCTCAACAACAGCAACAGATTCCCCCCCACTACCCCATGGCACCTGGATACGATGGTCAGAACCAGGGCCATATGCCACCTATGATGCCTCCCTATGGCGGAGCACCGGGCATGTATCCACCCTATCCGATGCTGCACCAGCAGGAGATTGCTGCCCTCCAGCAGCAGATCCAGGAGATATACTGCATGCCACCGGGACACGAGCACCAGCACCAAGAGAAGCTGATGCGGCTGCAGGAGCGACTGAATCTCCTCCAGCAGCACGAGGTGAACGACCAGTGCGCCGGCGGTGGGCCGCAGTGTGTGCTGTTCCAGTCGATGCCACCCATGTACGGCAGCAACCCGCTCCACAACCAGCAGATGGTGGAGAGTCCTCAGGTCTCCAGCACAACGGGGCGGGGACGGGGAAAGGGCGCCAACAAGCCGAGGAAGCCGCGCGCCAAGAAGGGCGAGAAAGTGGCTCAGGTGGGCCAGGACTTGATGGACATCAGCAGCAACGTGGTGGTGGGACAGGCCAATGCCACCCAGAGCATTCCCACCACCCAGCTCCCCGTATCCGAGGACTGTGTGACCCAGGGAGCCGGCGACACCAGCGTCGTGGGCATGCTGGAGTACAGTGAGGGCATGGGAGACCTCTCGCAGGACGTCCATTCCGCCAACGAGCTGGACACCTCCACCGATGGCAGCGGCAAAAAGAAGAAGCCGCGAAAGCCACGGATACCCAAGGATCCCAACAAGCCGCCACGCGACCGAACGCCCAAGTCGAAGAAGCCCAAGGATCCCAACGATCCCAATTCCACAGACTCGCCGGCTCCAGCCGCCAAGAAACGAGCCAGTACCAGCAAGAAGAGCAAGAAGCAGTACGGAGACGACGGCGCGGAGCAAACGGGCGAGGGCAGCGAGGTGGAGGACAACAAGCCACTGGTGCCCAAGGCGGAATCCGCCGATGGTGAGGCTGAGACCACTTCCGCAGTGGTTGGCGTGGACGGAGAGTCGCCGGACTACGACGACATACCGGTTTCAAAGATTCCGCGAAGTGCCAACGAGGAGGAGAAGGAGCCCGAGGCGGGCGATGAGACGGTGGACTCTGTTCCAGACTCCGCTGGCGACGCTGCCTCGACGCCTAGCCGCCGAGACCGCAAGCGGTCCACCGCCAGGAGTCGCCGCAATGCCAACTCCGAGGAAGGTGGCAGTGCGCGCAGAAATCGCGGATCCCTGTCCGCCAAGGCCCTGAAGAAGCGCAGGAACCGCGGCCGCATCGTCCCCGAATCCGATGGCGAGGACGACACTCTGGACAGAACACCGCCTCCATCGCCGCCACCAGACTCAGAACTGGACTCGAACAAGAGGAGATCCTCCAGGAACACGCAGCGCAAGAAGTACATCGACGATGTGATGCTACGGTTTTCCGACGACGAGAACTCCCTGCTGGTGGCCTCTCCGGTGAAAAAGGAGAAGAAATCTTCGGCCAACGCTGCCAACTCCAATGCCGGCAGTGATGCGGAGAAGACCGAGCCCCAGTCCGGAGCCGAAGGAGAAGCTGGTGGCCAGGAGGCCGGCGAAGATAAGTCCAATATTGGCATTGACGAGAGCAGCCAGTTGGAGGCCAGTTCCAGCACCTCGGCAGCTGCTGCCGCCGCCGCTGAGAAGGAGCGCCAGAGCTCCACCGATGCCGCCAACGCAGCCATGTCCTCCAAGCCGAACTATGTGTACATCAACACTGGCGACGAGGACAGCATGGTGGTGCAGTACGTCCTGGCCGTGCGGATGGGCAAACGTGAGCTGATCCCAGAGAAACCAAAGGAGAAGACTCCAGAGCCCAAAGAGGAGGAGAAACCGGAGGAGACTGAGAAGTCTGCCGAAGATGAGGAGAAGCCGAAACCCGAAGGCGAAGCAGGAGAAGCCCCGGAAGGGGAATCCAAGCCAGAGGAGAGTAAGCCCGAAACGGAATCCTCCGCCATGGAGGTGGACAAGGAGGAAACTCCAGCAGAGAATGAAAAGCCAGAAGAGGCCCCCGCCTCACCCAAGAAGGAGGAGGAGATGGAGGTGGATGAGCCGGCTGAGAAGGAAACTAAACCGGAGGAGCAAGCTGAAGATGAAAAGACTGAGGAGAAATCAGAGACCAATGAAGAGGAGAAATCTTCCGATGTAGAAACTGCCGAGGAGGCCAAGGAGACTGAGGCCTCCGAGGAGAAAATGGAGGTGGACGAAACCCCGGCCTCTCCCAAGGCGAAGGAGGAGTCTACCAGCGAAGAGAAGTCTTCCGAAGAAACGGAGGACGAGAAAAAGGACAAGGATGGCTCCGAAAAGGAAGAGGAAAAGGAAGAACCCAAGGAGGGCGAGGAAACCGAGAAGAAGGAGGAGGCCGAGAAGGAAAACAAGCCCGAGCCCGTCTACATCGATGTGGAGGAGTACTTTGTGAAGTATCGCAACTTCAGCTACCTCCACTGCGAGTGGAGGACGGAGGAGGAGCTCCTCAAGGGAGACCGTCGGGTGGCCGCCAAGATTCGTCGCTTCCAGCAGAAGCAGTCGCAGCAGCTGAACATCTTCGAGAACATCGAGGAGGAGCCCTTCAATCCCGACTTTACTGAGGTGGATCGCGTGCTGGACATGTCCGTGCACACGGACGAGAACAGTGGCGAGACCACCAAGCACTACCTGGTCAAGTGGAAGTCCCTGCCCTACGAGGACTGCACCTGGGAGCTGGAGGAGGATGTCGACAACGACAAGATCGAGCAGTATCTGCGCTTCAACAAGATCCCCATGCGCTGCGAGTGGAAGAGCAAGAAGCGTCCGCATCCGGAGCAGTGGAAGAAGCTGGAGAAGACCCCCGTCTACAAGGCAGGGAACAGCCTGCGACCCTACCAGCTGGAGGGTCTGAACTGGTTGAAGTTCTCCTGGTACAACACGCACAACTGCATCCTAGCCGACGAAATGGGTCTCGGCAAGACCATCCAGAGTTTGACGTTCGTCCACTCGGTGTACGAGTACGGCATCAGAGGACCCTTCCTGGTCATAGCCCCGCTGTCCACCATTCCCAACTGGCAGCGCGAGTTCGAGGGCTGGACCGACATGAACGTGGTGGTGTACCACGGCTCGGTGACCAGCAAACAGATGATCCAGGACTACGAGTTCTACTACAAGACGGAGACGGGCAAGGTCCTCAAGGAGCCCATCAAGTTCAATGTTCTGATCACCACTTTCGAGATGATCGTGACGGACTACATGGACCTGAAGGCCTTCAACTGGCGCCTCTGCGTCATCGACGAGGCCCATCGTCTCAAGAACCGGAACTGCAAGCTGCTGGAGGGCCTGCGACAGTTGAACTTGGAGCACCGAGTCCTCCTGTCGGGAACGCCCCTGCAGAACAACATCAGCGAGCTGTTCTCGCTGCTGAATTTCCTGGAGCCCTCGCAGTTCTCCTCGCAGGAGGAGTTCATGTCCGAGTTCGGAAGTCTCCGCACCGAGGAGGAGGTCAACAAGCTGCAGGCGCTCCTGAAGCCCATGATGCTGCGTCGTCTGAAGGACGATGTGGAGAAGAGTCTGGCCCCCAAGGAAGAAACCATTATCGAGGTGGAGCTGACCAACATTCAGAAGAAGTACTACCGCGGCATCCTGGAGCAGAACTTCAGTTTCCTGAAGAAGGGCACCACCTCCGCCAACATCCCGAACCTGATGAACACCATGATGGAGCTGAGAAAGTGCTGCATCCATCCCTATCTCCTCAACGGAGCCGAGGAGCAGATCCAGTACGATTTCAAGTCGCAGCACGGCGAGGATCCGGAGTCCTACTACAAGAACCTGATCCTCTCGGCCGGAAAAATGGTCCTGATTGACAAGCTGCTTCCCAAGCTGAAGGCCAACGGACACCGGGTGCTCATCTTCAGTCAGATGGTCAGGTGCCTGGACATCCTGGAGGACTATCTGGTGTACCGGAAGTATCCCTTCGAGCGAATCGACGGTCGTATTCGCGGAAACTTGCGCCAGGAGGCCATTGATCGGTACTCCAAGCCGGGATCGGACCGATTCGTGTTCCTTCTTTGCACGAAGGCTGGAGGATTGGGCATCAACTTGACGGCTGCCGACACGGTCATCATCTACGACTCCGACTGGAATCCCCAGAACGATCTGCAGGCCCAGGCCCGATGCCATCGTATCGGCCAGCGGAAAATGGTCAAGATCTACCGACTGCTCTGCAGGAACACCTACGAACGCGAGATGTTCGACAAGGCCTCCATGAAGCTCGGTCTCGACAAGGCGGTGCTGCAGTCGATGAACACCCAGGGCTCCAAGGACGGCAACAACAAGCAGCTGTCCAAGAAGGAGATCGAGGACCTGCTCAAGAAGGGCGCCTACGGAGCTGTCATGGACGATGACAACGCCGGCGACAAGTTCTGCGAAGAGGACATCGATTCCATCCTCAAGCGTCGCACCCAGGTCATCACCATGGAGTCGGAGAAGGGATCCACCTTCTCGAAGGCCTCCTTTGCCGCCTCCGGCAACCGTTCGGACATCACCATAGATGACCCCGACTTCTGGACCAAGTGGGCCAAGAAGGTGGACATCGATCCCGATGCCTGCGAGCGGGATGAAACCGAGGATCTGGTCCTATCCGAGCCGAGAAGGCGCACCCAGATCAAGCGCTACGGCCATGAGGATGTCATGGAAATCAACTCGGAGGACTCCTCCAACGAAAACAGCGATGAAGAGGGAGGAATAGGTAGGAGTGACGCATATTTGGGGAATCTTGGACAAGATCTAATGCCTCTTAATCCCTCAGGTCTCCGTTCCCGTCGCCGCAAGGAGAAGCGAGATCGCAATCGCGAGAAGAAGGGCCACGATGAGTACATTCCACGAGAACGCGATGCCCTGGCCGCTCTGGGACTGGAGGAGATCCAGTATGGCAACTGGGCCAAGTCTGAGTGCTTCAAGGTGGAGAAGGGACTGCTATCCTTTGGGTGAGTTCTTCATAACTTTATTCGGCTTCAAACACAAAATATATGATTTAATATTTTTTTAAAGTTTAGGTTCCTTTAGTATTCCTGCATGCGGTTGCGCCTGCGTATGGCATTGTTGAGCTTCATGTTCAGGATGTAGATCTTGCGCTGGAGCATCTTCTCCTCCTTCTCGAGGTTGTGCGCCTCCTCCTTGCGCTCGATGTACTCGCTGACGCTGGGTGCCTCGTACTCCTGCAGCTGGGCCTTTAGTTCGTCCAGAGTCACATAGTCCTTGGCGTTGTGCGCCTGTACCTGGGCCACCTCCTTCTCCAGCTTGACAATGGCTCGGGTCACCTCCTCGGTTCGGTTCAAGACATTGCGCATCTCGGCCTCCAGGTTCATCATGGCCTGCTTCTCCTCTGTCATGGCCAGCGATGTCTTGCCGGTGACTCCCTTCAGGCCCGCCATGTGGATGTTCTTCTCCTCCAGCTGGTTGACCAGCTCCGTGCGCTTGATGATCAGCTTTTCAAAGTCCACAGCTGTTAGGATGCCGCTGAGATCAGACTTTGTGATCAGGTCGGCGCGATGCTGCTGGCAGGTTTCCTGCAGCGAGACGATGGTCAGCTTCATGGTGCCCAGCAGAGCTCGAGCGTTCTTGAACCAGTTGGTGGTGAACTTCCGTAGCTTCCGCTCGATCTGCCGCTCAGTGGCCGACTCCAGGAAGGCAATGTCGTTCTCGTCCCGCATGAAGTGCAGCATGAAGTTGTTTTCCGTTTCAATGGTTTCCTCACTGCGATATCGCAGCTCTTCAATTTTGGCCCGAAGCTGCTTCACCTCCGTCATGGCTATGAAGATAATCCTTAGTAGCATCCCCCATAATCCTTTCAGAAACCTTACCATTCCTTTCGATGTCCGAAACCCGCTTCTCCACCTCGGCCGCTCTTTTCTCGGCCATCTCCGCCTTGGCCTTAAAGTTCAGCTTGTAGTCCATGCCGCGACGCTTCTCCGTGAGGACTCCGGCAGATCCCAGGCCCACCAGCTGGTTCACAGACATGGGAATCGAACGCTTGGAGCTCGAGTGCCGACTGCTGGCCACGTGGCTGCCCGAATTCCGCTTCGTTTGGAGCCTCCGCAGGATGGAAGTGCGTCGCTGCCTCAATCCCAACAGCAACTTGGGATCATTCTTCTCCAGAAACTCGACCATAATGTGATTCTCCAGCCGCAGGGTGGCCACATCGTTGTGCACCTGCTCGACGGTGCGCAGCATGTCCAGGGCATCAAGGCCGGCCAGGCGACTCTCCTTTTCCTCCTCGGAGAAGTTGCGAAAGTCCTCCAAGTAGAACTTGTAGATGATGGCCACAATGTCCACTTCCTGTGGGGGGGTGTACTCGAAGAAGGCCGACTTGCTCACCCGCGACTTCATGGAGCGCAATGAGCGGCGGCTAATGGTTTCTCTCATGCTGTGTTCCGACATGGTTTCTGGCTAGGATTCTAATTTTTTTTTAACAACAAATGATAGTACTTGTGGCGTTTTTGTTTATGGAATTTATATTATTCTATTACTAAGTCTGAAGGGTGACTAGATTAAACTTCATTTTAAATACAATTTCTTTCCTTTTTTCCAGATGGGGTCGTTGGTCGGAGCTCCTGGAGTTGGGACAATTCAAGCGTGGCTGGCGCGATATCGACATCGAGGACTGTGCCCGCATTATCGTAAGTTACAGTCAGGAGGACTTTCTCCCAAGTCTCTTCTTAGTGATGACCAACCATGCTAATATTGAGGAAACTTTAGGTTTCCGCTGAGTAAAAACTATCTTCTCAACTTGCTGAAACTCAAAACTATAGATACAAGATACATTCTTAGCTAGAATATCTACTAATTTAATTTTTAAAACAAACCCTTACAGCTGCTATATTGCCTGCAAGTGTACAAGGGCGACGAGAAGATCAAGACGTTCATCTGGGACCTGATAACGCCCACCGAGGACGGGGAGGTGCAGAAGATCAGCAGGGATCATAGTGGCCTACACAACTTGGTGCCACGAGGTAGGAACGCCAAAGGTATGGTAAAACGCTACATTCACGCACACCCCAACTGCTGCACGGACGTAGAGAGTTTCTTGAAATTCCACCAAAAGAATCCAAATCTTTTGTACAAAGTCTTCTACACACTACTTCTAAGGGGCTCTGGACTACCATTACCTTCTTAACTATTTTTGTTTTTCTTCTCAAAATTATCCTGTAAATGTATTCGTACTTTAAATGAGTCCACCGATGAGTCATTGTTTGTGTAGAGTGTTTGGGTCTATGGCCTCCAGTTTTTCCGACTTGCTTTAATCTCTCTCGATTTGGACTGTGACTTGGACGAGGACATTGGAGCTCTCATACTAGAGCTTAAAACTAGACTTGACGAAAAAAAAAAAGTGTGTGTATGTTATGTTGCCATGCAATTGTATGCCTTTTACCTTATCCTTATCTTTTAATAGTTTTTATGTTTAAATATAATACAATATCGCAATATTCATTCATTTGCTTAGAAATTGGTGTTCACATAACTTTCATAACTAACCCTGAGCCTGAACCAGCAAGGGTTTCTTCTCCAAATTCTTTAAAATCAAGTAAAGCCATCATAAGCTTCATCTGCTCATACATTGCACTCTCATAGAGTTGCTCTCGGAACTAATCTTTCCCAAAACCCCAAGCCGAGGGCAACTCCCATAGATATATAAGATTCTACTAATATCCTTGGGACTATTTTGTTGACTTACAGGACGTAATGGTGGCAAGTCGAACAAGGATTCGACTGGTCCTGGCACCGCATCGGGTAGCAATAGTGGCAACACCACACCCGCCCACAAGTCCAGCGCCCTGGATGGCTCCGATAAGGATGGCGGGATCAGTGCCAGCGCCGTGGCCGCAGCAGTCACCAATCCGACCAGCATCCATGATCCGAATCACTGGAGCAAGAAGGAGAAGTACGATGCGGACGCGTACTTGGAGGGCGCCTACAAGAAGCACTTGGGCAGACACGCGAATAAGTGAGTCGTGTGGAATCGAATTTGTTATAAGCTTAACCCCCAAGAACCAAATGCAGGGCATTAACTAACAACAACTCTTCTTTCTTCTTCCTCTATTTTTTATATTTTATTTTCCTATTTTTTATTTCGAAATTCCATTAATTCCTTACAGAGTTCTGCTGCGGGTGAGGATGCTGTACTACATCCAGCACGAGGTCATTGGGGATCTGGTTCAGCAGATCAAGGACAACACGCCCATCAGGTAGGCAAGGCCCTCCGAGTGGGCGGCAATACACTTGGCATTCATTGATCATTTTGTTTGTTGTTGTTGATTGATTGATTGACTGACTGATTGCCAAAAAGAGTGTTTCAATATTCTTTATAATTATTCTTATTATCATTTTTATTTTATATAAATATTTATGCCAATTTGTGAGCTGTTTTTGCAAACAGTATTATTTATTTTTAATCAAAGTTCGGGTGGAATGCAAACTGTCTTTTATTCGATTTCTCTCTATAATCTCTATAACTCTGTAATCTATGTACGTTCGATCGCTTGCCTCTAACATTTGTACATTTTTCACATCAACATTCCATACATACTCTATCATCCTTTTGCCAATTAATCCTCGGCACATTACCTCCTCCTATCTCTCTCTCTCTATATTGCTGTGTTTGTTGTTTTTATTCGATTATTCGATTAAATTCGATTAACTATATAATTCATAATTGATTTGCGAATATCTGTACGTATATATTGTATAACCACCGAAAACTGCAGCAGTACGAAAGCCAAGCAGCAGCTGGCACTCAATCTGAATATGAATCTGGAAAGGTAATGTCCCTATGAAACAGTACTATATATAGTATAAACCCCTCCAGCATACTACCGATATCGATCGCCATCATCGCTCGCTCTCGCTCGCTCGCTATTCGCACGCACGCTATATTACAATATCCTCCATTTCCACAAGAAGAGAAGAAGAAACAATGAGAAGCTGGCGAATAGGGAAATCCACGCTACTATATCTCATATACCCTACCTTATCAATAAATAATCCAAATTCCACATGCAACTTACAAAATTCATTTTTGTATTTATCGAATATCGAATTCAAAATTCCAAAAACCAAAAACCACAAAAAAAAAGAAGATGAAACAAGATTTTTAGTTGAATTTTGTATTGAATTTCTGCATTTGTAGCGATCTGTAGTGCAAATTGGCAATTAATATTATTATTTATTTATTTCATTATATCTATTTAATATTTTTGATTTTCATTTTCTTTTTGGTTTAATTGTTTATTTAACTCTCTCTTTATTTTATACCTCATACCGAAATTGAACAAAAAATTTAACTAAAATTTTAATAACCCAAAAAATTGATAAAAATTTTTACTAAACCAACGCATTTCTTTTTTCGCGCATTTCTTTCGCAAAAAATCCCCAAAAAAAAAACAAAAATATCCACCAAAACACCACCAAAAAAAACAATCGTTATCGAATGTTATCGAATCATCGTAGCGAGCTCCCCATTCGCCCGCCGCCAACGCCAGATCAAGTGCCATCCTCATGGTGGAATCCCATTTGTTGTGATAAGAGTCTGTTGGTCGGAACCTACAAGCACGGCTGCGAAATGTATCGTCAGATGCGCGCCGATCCCAATCTGTGCTTTGTAACCCATGTGGGCGCCGGTGCCGGTGACGATCTGGCCGTCACGAATTTGCCGATGTAAGTTTTAAAAAAAATAGAAAAATAATTAAAAATCCAGTTGAAAGTGAAACTAGTACTGGATAGTAAAGTAAATCATTTAAAGGTGTCATTCATTTCATTAAGACTTTATATATATATTCAGGATGTAATCCCAGAGCTAGCACTCATTCATAAAAAGCCATTATTTAATCAACATTGTGCCTCCCATAAGTACTAAAACTAGGGACGTAATTCAGACTCAAGATCAGACCCAAGTCTAGAAGACTAAAGGACATATCCATTCCCACACACTCACGCACCCACAAGTGTCAGTTAAGATGCTAAGATCCTAAGATCCTAGCTCTGTAGATCACTTGCCATTTCAAGAATCAGACATAAACATCCATCATTGCGCTGAAAGTGTGTGTGCGAGTGTTGTGAGTTTATTCTCTCGATGTTTCAGAACGTTTTAATTGCGTTTAGCATGAAGACCACCTAATGAATGAACCACCTTCTTCTAAAATAGTTAAGATTATAAGTCATATATTTTATAAATTCTTTCTTTTTTGTAAAAACAAACAGAAACGAAGATGACGCAAATTCAAAGCATGACGATGGCGATGAGGTGGACGACGACGGCACCACCACCACCAAAGACTCGGACTCCACTAAACTGACTGGGGGCGATAACAAGGACTCGCTCCTCGACCCGGAGCGCCCCAGTTCGTCGGGTAAGAGTTCCAACAGCGAATGTGCAACCAACAGCGACAAAAATCAACCCAAAGCTGGATCCAACGAGATGCTGCCATCCGAATCCTCATCCAAATCCAAAGCCAATCCATCGCCGGGCAATGGCAGTGATGTTGATGCCTCCCAGCAGGACGCATCATCAGACAAAGCTCCAGAATCGGCAGATACCTCAGAACCAGAACCAACCGATGCAGCAGTCTCAGTCTCAGCCTCTGGCTCCGGAGATCCGGCCGACTCCTCCGGTTCGCCGGGTGAGGTCGATGGAGATGGCCAGGAGGCGGAGGCCAAGACTGGTGCCTCCAATGAATCGGACAACGAATCGGAGCAAAATCAAAAAGCAAAAGAAACCAAAAAGGACCAAAAAGATAGCAAGGAGCCAACTGCTGGTGCTGCTCCTGCTGGGGAAACCAAGACAGACGACGCTGCCATTGCTCGGGCCGAGGAGGATAAAGCGGAATCATGCACTAACAATGCCACCACAAACATCACTACTACTACCACTACCATTACCAATACCACCACCAATACCACCACCACCACCAATACCACCACTACCACCAATAATCCATCATCCAAAGCGGCTAATTTAAAAGGCCAAACCAACTCGACCGACAATGCTAACTCCAACTCAAATTTAGGCTTGGACGAAGAGGAGAGCGTGGCCGGCAGCTACCCGCCCACCGTGGCGGCCGTCGAGGATGCCACCACCATGTGGCCGTCGATGCAGGACCTCAACACGCGACTCCGACGAGTGATCACCGCCTACCAGAGGAACTACAAGAAGGAGGAGCTCAAGCAACAGCAGAAGGCCAAGGTGAGTGTTCGAGAGCTCCCAATCTATAGGATTCATTCATTCCCCGATTAACCCCCCAAGCCTGAAGGGGGCTTCTCAGGAGGACCAGTCTCCAATCCGAATCAAGAGCCTAGCTTTATAGTCTTCTGTTAATTGTTTGTTAGATTGTGTGCCGTAGTGTCCGTACGTAGTTTTGTTGCTTAGCTGTTGGCCGTAGTTAGTTGCGAACCGTAACCGTAGTTAGAACGGACAGATGACCTGGACCCGGACCGAAAGACGTCGCTCCCGAACCTAACCGAATTCGATCATCTTGCCGGAATTACGAAGAATGCAAATTTTGAAACAAAAACCATGGAAGCCAACAGCTGATTAACAAAACTATGGATCACCCATAACCACCCCCCCCACCATCAAGATCTCACCATCCAGATCATAGCCTATCATTCTCCAACTGCAACTTGTCCCATCTGTCCCACAGCTCCAGGCACTGGTATCATCGACACCGCCGCTGTCCGTGCCCACCACACCCACGTTGCAGTCCATGCAGATGCAGCTGCAGAGCGGCACAGGCGGTGCCGGCTCGTCCGGCCCATCCGGCCAACTGGATCCCACCGGTCGCAGTCTCCAGGCCCTGATGCAATCGCAGGGTGCTAGCACTTCGGCCGCCGCTGCTGCGGCTGCGGCAGCTGCCGGTGGATCTGGCAGCACGTCCGGACAGAGTCAACAGGGTGCGGGTGGATCCGTTTCTGTGACCGGGTCGGGAATGCCGGCCATGCCCACGGCCGCCGACATCAGCCTGATGCTCAGCATCCTCAACACCACCGACGTCAATCAGCTGGCCCAGTTGGACATCAACAAGCTGGCCATGTACCTGGTCAGCATGAACAATGTACGCTAGTGATGAGTACCCATATATACCATATATATATATATAGATATACCCCTTTTTTTCTAATATTATAACCACTTGTGAGACTACCCCTTGCCCTTTGAATCAACCCCCACTCACACCCTGAGAGTGAGTGAATGAAATCAATCCTTGACAACCCAACCAACCAACTACCTACCACCACCCAGGGAGCACTAGCTGCCCACCACCCTTTCCGAGGCGCTAATAGACCATGAACCAGGAACTTCCACCCGATGAGAGACTTTAACCCAAAAACACAGACACGAACACAAAGCCACTTACCACCCAACACTAACTAACTAACCTGCATGAGTCTAACTAACTAACCACTAACCTATAGAGTCTATAATGCCATGTTTTCTAATATTTAACATATATCCAAAAATAAGCCAATTATTGAACATATTTCAAGTATTTGTGGCGCCATCTGGTGTGATTAGCAATTATTATTGTATGCAGGGAGGGAGGGGGAATGAACCAGGAAAGGGCCATATTCCACCCTCTATATAGGTCTCTATAACTCTTTATTTTACAAAACATAATCCTAGCGTCCTTTTTTTTATTCGCTAATACCTACTTTATCGATAAATCTGTTTTCTGGGGATGGAAAATCGTGTGAAAAACAGAGGAAATCAGACGTGGAAACGGAGACTCTATAAAAAGTGAAGTCACCTGTGCTATTGACGGGGGGAGGGGAGGGGAGTCTGTCAACTCGGCCTGCAATTGTGTATCCTCCCTTTTTTTTAAACGAATGTATATGTGTGTGTGTGCGTGTCTGGACGAATGGGCAAACAAAAGCGGCAAGAGAAAACCACCAAAAAGGAGCAGCGATAGAGCAGAGCAGGGAAGCGATAACAAATACACTTATGCTTAATTTATGCAAAATAAAAGAAATACATACATACATACATACATATATACACTTAGAGTGTGGAGCATTTGGAGATTATATTCTCTTGGCCATCCCAATCTCGTCTCGGTTCGTACTTGCCACACATCTCATCTCATTCTCGTGCCATCTCGCGAATCCTCCGAATGCGAATGAGCGGCCAAAAGCGAAGGAAATGTCAAACCACTTTGCACACTCGGCGGCCGAAACAAAAACAGCAATACACCCAAGCCGATGATTCCTCCACCCCACCCAACTACCCACTTGCCCACCACCCTGCCCCCCAGCAGCCTAGTGCAAAACCGTTCGTTTGCTTGCCTCTGCTTCGGGTATGGTTCGCCTTTTTTTTTTGTGCTGCCCCTGCTGCCTCAAGGTGGTGGTGGCGGAGGCAAAACACAGTGGAATCCGCAGCGTATTGGCCAAAAGGCTTGGGTCAAATTATGAGCCCCAAACGAAGAAGAACCGGAGTCAATTGCACAACCTGACGCTTCGATTCGCCGCATTTCCATCAGAGATGCTTCGAAAGCAAGCTGAAAGATACAAATGTATCTTGGTCTGAGAAGATAACCCAATTGGAAGATACATTCGAGTATCTTTATAAGAGTTTGTAGATACATTCAAGTGGTTTCTTTTTGGATAGCTATTTTTGGCTAAGGTGGCTTATAATCTGGAGTATCTGGAAGCTAGGGAATCAGCACTGGTAGAGGCAGCGGCAGTGGCAGTGGCAGCGCGCCATCAATCAAACCCACAACACTACCAACTGCCAGGAGTAAGGATACGAAAAAGAAGAAGAAGAACAAGCAGCACCACCTAACAGTGGCAAGAAGAGCAAAGCCAAGTTGTTGTTCTTGTTGTTGTTGTTGTTGCATTGACGAAGTAAAGTTCCTTCCTTTGGTGACGATGATTGTTGCGGCGACGTCGACTGCGGCAGAGAGGTGGCGGCGTTGGTGGACGACTTGGATTTGTTGCTCCTGATGTTGTTGTTGTTGTTGGGCATTTGATATCATCGGGTGGTTTTGGTTTAGGTTTGGTTTGGTTTGACTCTGCCACTGCCGCTGCCTAGCTACGTTGGCTGTACTTGGGCCTTACCGTACGTATGTATGTATGTATGTATGTATGTATTAGTTTTCCATGCGAGTAGCTCTACATCGCGCTGTCTCTGTCGCCCAAGCAATGTGTGTTTGTAATTTTACATTTTCTGGATTTATCCAATGTTTAATTTTTTTTTTTTTCTTTTTTCGTGTGCGCCCACCCAAATGGCTTGGGTTTGGAGGGGGGGAGGGCATAGCACGGATGGCACTCTCTCTTTAGGCGGAGATGCTTATTCTGCTTCTGCTTATGCTTCTGCCTCTCACGAACTGAATTATTGAGCGCAATATGTGACTTGGAGATGGGGCACTCACTGGTAACTGGTGACTGGTGACCTGTTCCTGTTTCGGTATTCTTGTCCTTTTCTTTCGCATAGCGCGAGTTTTCGATAAAGCCGCCTAATTGTGCTCATTTGAGCTCCCACTCCCCACTCCTCCCATCCATCTTTACTTGTTCCAAGCCAGCCCCATCTTCTTTGCTCATTCGTTCTCATTTTTCCACGTTATGTTGCTGCCGCTGGTGCTGCCGCTGCAGCTTAAAAGCATTTTTCGCTTTGTTTTGTTGATTCCTTTTTGCATTTATTTGCAACGTGTATTTAGAACACAAGCTTAGAGTTGTTGGCTTTTCTCATGCGTGTGTGTGTCTATGTGTGTGTCTGTGCAGGTTTGCCATTCTTTTTTGCGACCATCTTCGGGCCCACCTTCGACTTGGTTGGATGCTTTTGGCTTAGCTTTTGTTGCTGACCGCTGTGGTTGCTCTTTTTTATGCTATTGCTGTTGTAGCTGCTGCTGCTTCGGCTGCTGCTGTTGCCATTCGATTTATTATTTTATTAGCATTTGGCTGCTGCAAGGTACAATGGGGCAAATAATAAAGAGGAAGTAATAAAAAAAGTAAAAAATAATTACAAAAAAAATGCAGTTTATATTTTCTAAGATTAAATAATTTGCATATATTAGATTATATAATAATAAAAATATTTATTATTATTTTTTATACTTTTTTTAAATTTTATTTTCTGATGTTTATTTTCCTTATTATTTATGCATTTTTATCCCACTGTGCGCGTGCGCCTCACGTGTTCCCGTCGCATCTCAGTCACTGACACTCACTCTTTCGCTCTTCCATCCGAGTGCATTTCGAGTCTGCTGCTGCAGCTGCTGCGTCGGCGCATTTTTCACATCACACCTGTCAGTCGTAAAACATTGGAAAAAGTTGCCCTGCCATCTTACCAATATGCCGAATGGCCCAGCAGTCCATCAGCCCATCAATATATCGTAGGCTCGGCTTCGCTTGTCAGCCCGCTGAGTCTAAATCTCAATGAGAGCTGCCCTTTTCTACCTGCCTTGTTTTTCCTCTCCCCGATTTAGTTTAGTCAAATTTACGATTAGACTCCCTTGGCTCGATCTTGCCTTCTTCTTACATCCACATGCCACTCACCTAGTGTGAGTGCATTTTCTGGAGCTGAGGATGTGTCGCCATTGCATCGATACTGCGATTATACTCGCATTGCGCGCTCACTCATGCATGTTTTTGTTTGGTTGTATTGTGGATACACGGACTCATGGATATCCACACACATGCAGACAGGCATGCACATGTGTGGTATCTGCATCTGTATCTTGCGGATTGATTAATAATCTCGTTTCGTTTTTGCTCTGGCTACGTGCTTATCGCACTTTTGCCCTGCTTCCATCTTTCGCTCTGGCTTTTTGGCTGCCTCTCCCTCTTCCACACGGAAATCTCCATCCATCTCTTTCCGTCTTTAGAGTGGATAGCGTATGTAGATAGCCCAAAGGTCGAATTAATTAAACAATTGCAAAATGTCAATAATCGAAGTCAGTTGGGGAGGGGGGGGGTAACTATGGAATCATACAGTTGAGCTTGAGGTTTATATAAGATCTATCGTATATCTTAGAGATGACAGTTGGAAGGATAATCTTCTCAGAAAGAGTGCTAGATATAGACCAAATAATCCAGTTTCCCGAGTGATTGATTCCTGCTTAAGATATAAGGGTTTACCTGTAATTTCATGGCGGATTGCACTTGGGCACTTGGTGGTACCTGCTCCTCGGCCCTAATCCATTTCCATGGCTTAGCATGTGGCTCTTCCTCTTCTCGCTGTACTGCTCCTGTTATCCCTTTTATTTTTTATTTTTTTTTTGATGTCCTGCGTTTGTCATTACCCCCTCGGCATCGCGGCCTGGTTCGCTCTTTTGTGCTACTCTCTATGTGTCGTCAACAGTTTTTGTGGTACATTTGTTTCATTGCCTTTCTTTTTGTTGCCTCTGATTCGGATTTTGCCGTGTGTTGCTGCCCCCACCCACCTCCTCCGCAGCCTACCCTCTCGATGACTTCTTCTTTGCTTACATTACACAGTTGACACAATGCTGCCGTTGCCTTCTGCTCCAACTCGTCCATCCACTCTTAATGCTCTCTACCGCCTCCTGAGTCTCGGGCGCTCTCTCTCGCTGCGCCCTCTCTTTCACTGGCGACTCTCGCCGGCGGCGACGACGACGACGACGACGACTCTCCCCAGTTGCAAGTGACGCGCCGCTCCGACCTCCCCCCTCCTCCGGACGTCTCTGGGTTTTTGTGCCCATCTCATTCATATTCACATTCACCCAAAACGGCGTTTTGGCTTAATCTCACGATTGTTTGGTTTCCCGCTCTACTACCTCCTCTGCCCACCTCTTTCACCGCTCTTTGGCTCTGGGCCCTCTCAAGTCTGAGTCTCTCTTGCCGAGTCGAGTCGGTCGCATGTGTGCGTGGCGGTGTGACTGTGTGCCTGTTAGTGGTAGTGTGTGTGTGTGTGAGGAGTGTTTCTTGTATTTTAGCCAGAAAATGCGCTCGCTCATTATTTGTTTGAGCGCCGCGGTGTAAAGTTGTAAAAAGTCCAAGTGCTCGTCGGTCGAATCGAATCGAAAACGGAGCAACAGAGCGGCCGCCCGATAAATCGCGAGAATGGGAGTGCGATTGGAGGAATAGTACTAGTAGTAGTAGT